ACTGTGAGGTCTGCGTATATCACAGACCCAGATCCTGTTTGTCTGTGATGACAGCTAGCAGGGTTTGTTCCAAGTGCTGTCTAAAAAAACACCAGCTTAAAGTAATTTATGAAGTTTGAAATTTCTAACTAACCCTCAGTTTTGTTTTTTTTTTTTTTGGTGAGACTGGGTTTTGAACTCAGGGCTTCCTCCCTGCAAAGCAGGCACTCTACCACTTGAGCCACACCTCCAGTCCATTTTGCTCTGGTTATTTTGGAGATGGGGCCTCATGAACTATTTGCCTAGCTGGCCTCAAACCTCAATCCTCCTGATCTCAGCCTCCCAAGTAGCTGGGATTACAGGTGTGAAACACCAGTGCCCAGCTTAACTTTCGATTTGGTTGTGCAGTGTGGGCATCCTCCACCCCTACAGTTGCCCTTACCCCTCACCTCAGGCCCCAGAGCTAACATCTGGGACTAAGATGCAGTTTCCTTAGTGGAGTTGTGTGAGTAAGTAACCATGGCACAGAGTTAGTAACCGGAGTTTAATGAACAAGGAACCTCTTCTTACCCGCCACCCCCACAAAACTGCTTCCAAGTGCCTGCTGGGTCAAATGCAGGCAAGACACGGGTCCTGCCTCCGTCTGTACTGCTGTGATCTCAAAGGGATTTGGTTCCTGCATGACCCGTGGGCAGGATGGTCTTGGTCCTCCCTTCTTCTGGGGATTTGGCCCACAGCTGCCATGTGGGGTGGACTCAGACCACCTTGCCTCACCCACTCCTCCAGGCCCCATCTCCTTCCCCTCCAGATAAGAACATGGGAAAAGGAGGAAGCAGCTTCCCTTGAGGAATGAAGTTCAAATCCTTGGGCAAATAAAGAACTTGAGCTTGGAAAAAGATTGTATTACTGTAGTGTGGCCTGTAACCTCCACAGCGTTTGTGAGGGGTTTTTCTTTTCTTTCTTTTTTTGTTTGTTTGTTTGTTTGTTTGCTTTGGCACTACTAGGGTCTGAACCCAGGGCTTCATGCTTGGTAGTGAGGTGGTCTACCATTTGAGCCATGCCCCTAACCCTTTTCGCTGTGGTTATTTTTGAAATAGGGTCTCCTTTATGCCCATACTAACCTGGACCAAGATCCTATTTTTGTTTCCCAACATGCTTGGGACATCACCAAGCCCAGTCATTGGTTGAGATGGGGTCTCACTAACTGTTTGGCTGGGCTGGCCTCAGACCTCGATTCTCTCCATCTCAGGTTCCCTCAGAACTGAGATTACAGGCATGAGCCACTGTACCCAGCTGGCTCATAAGTCTCTGCCGGGCAGTTGAAGAGCATCCAGCCCAAAGGATGCAAGCACTGTGCTTGCATCTAGTTGAATGAGAGCCCCATCTGGATTACCCGTCCTAGTGTCCCAAGCTGGTGGAGGAGTTGAGGATGGCTTGGGTCCAGCCGGTCTTTGAGGCACATGGAATTCAGAAACAAGTGTGACAGAATTGGGACGTTTGAGCTGAGAGTAAGGGCTCAGGACCCGGGACATATGTGAGTGATATGACCTGTGTCCCTCTGTGTTTCCCAAACATGGGCACTGATGGAGTGCTGACACCCGACACCTCATCCGTGTCTTCTCACTTGACTCTGGGCTACACAGATAATGATGCTTGTGAATAGTGCACAAGTGAGCTTTTATCTGAAATGTAGTCTACAGAAGGCAGGAGGATCCCTTGACCAGAATCAGTAGGAAGGTAGATCAGTGAGAGGACACTCATAGCCACACAGAGGGCTGTGTCTTTGCTGAGGACAGGGCTGCTGTTAAGTTACCTCAAATTGCTAGAATTTGTTTTGTAGTTCAGACCTATAAAGCTAGCCTACACCATGACTGAAATAGTTCCATTTAAAGGAAAAAACTGAATTCCTCCCACATGGCATCAAAGTGAAAGGGAACCCTGTCACCCAGAATTTGGTGCTTTGAAGGAAGTCAACAGAATTCTGCCAGATGTCACGTGTGACTAGTCCCAGAAATCTTAGTTCTGGTTCCCAAGGAGCAGAACTATCAGTCACAAAGTGTAATAAATAGATACATTTTGAAAAAAAAATGGGGGGCAGTCATCCAGACTGGCCTCAAATTCACAATCTTTCTGCCTCAGCCTCCTGAGTGCATGTTCCACCACACATAGTCTACCAAAACCTGTGTTCACCCCTCACCAAGCGCAGGTTTACAGCTCATGGAAGGACTTGTAAATATGGCAAAACCATGTGGACAAAATCAAGGCCTCATAAAATACAGGCAGCTGAGGAAAATAATAAGAGCTGCATTAATATACGCGATTAAACAATAAGTGGCAGTGCTAGAAGACAGCCACTCGCTCCCAGTGACTGCTGTTAATCACAAAGTGGCCCTGTGTGGTGACTGTGATATTCCTTCTTCAGTTCTGTGGGAGATGCTGTCCACATCACCTACTGAGAATGTCTGCCCACACTGTATTTGAACAGCTGTCCCTGGCCTGGAGGGAAAGCCTTTTGTAATCATTTGCTCAGTGGGGACCAGCCTCCTGGAGCTCCTTCTCTCCCTCCCTCTCCCTCTCTTCCTCTCCTCTTAAAATGCAAGTCTGGATCAACCTCCTCACTTTTCGCAGATTATGCAAGAGTTTAAGGGCATGCTTTTTGAAGTCTGTCTTCCATCCCAAATTATTGGGAAGGGTGACCTCAGTAATCCCCTTCTCTCCTCTCTAGGTGCGGCTCTGTCTCCTACAGCCCCTAAGCAATCTCTCTCCAGAGTGCAGCGGTCAAAGAACAGTCCTTGTGGGTTTTCCTCTAAGGAGTTAGGACAGAGGTAGCAAGAGAGCTAGCTGAATTTACATTTTTGGTAATGCGTGTGAAATGGAATGGTATCAAGGCCTGGAAGAAAGACTGTGGCATAAAAAATGCTTTTTAAAAAATTCATAACCGGTGCTGGGAGAGGGCTGGGGAGGGAGAGCAGAGAATGCAAACACAAACAGGGCATTTGCTCTTCGGATGTGAGCGAGTGAGATCCCAGCAAAAGGTGGCATAAGACCTGCTTGCATTTTTACATCTCTAGGTTTTCTGAGCTCAGAATGGGGAGAAGCAGACTTAGGGTATAGCACAAAGGGATTGTAAGACATGCAGACGGCCTATCTGTCAGGGTGGTTAAAGAGGGGCTCCGGTTTGGTGTGGGATTTAGAACAGCCACCTTGATGGGAACACCCAGTGTCACAGGGCCCACCAGGGTAGAAGATCACATAGAAGACCTGAGGCCTGTGTCCACAGCCACTGTGTTGCCCCTCGGTTACCAGGGACCCAGCTTGGTCAGGCCACTGGCAGGCCATTCCTAAGCAGCAGCTTCTTCCTTGTGGTCCGGGATGTTATCGAGGCTCCAGACATCACCTCCCACCCCAGAAGTCCCACCAGCTCTTACAGTTGACCTTCCATGGCCAAATCTCAGTCACCTAGCCACATCTTCTTGTAAAAGAGATGGAGCTCTGTTGTTTTGTAGCTGAATGTCAGCATGCCCAGCTCACGCAGGGCTCCCAGTAATACAAGAGAAAGGGAGAACCTCGGAACTGAGAAGAAGGGTGTTTGCTCACACTGATATGGTCAGATCCCGTTGAGGACTGGGGGAAAGGTAGATGGATGGGTTTCTGTTCTCCTGAAATTCACAGCCTGTGGGAGGCAAGACAGACAATAAATGGCAATCAGTTGCCAACCTGCATTCTACTCTTCAGGTGTATCTGTCATAACTAATGACAGAGCACAGTGTCAGACATGGCCGAGTGAAGCCTCAGGGGACTGAGGACAGTCAGCCTGGCATCTCTTTGATACGAATTCCATTCATCAAACACTCCAGAGTGCAGGTGCTGCCTTAACAGGAGGCAAGGTGGAGGGGGGAGCAGCGAACCATAGCCCCTCCCTGAAATCACCTGCGTCAGTCTTTAGCCAGTGTCCACCAAAGGCCACTTGCTCTGAAAGACTAGAGGACACAAACCCAGTCTGGTTGGGGTGTTAGGCGGGGAAGGATTTGGGGCTCTTTCCTTGCTGAGATACAGCACAGTATGTGAGGGTGCTGGGGAAGCCAGACACGGCTTTTTCCTTCCACTTGACAATAGTGAGTGCTTCTCAAGCCGGGTTTTACTGGGTGTCAAGCCCAGCCCACATATGCTGGAAGTGGGCGTGATTCTAAATTAAACCAGGACCCTGTGTCACCTACCCAGAACCCCCTGCTGCTTGCGGTGCCCTCGAACCATTTTAAGTTTCTGCTTCCCCAGCTATTATAAAAAATGAAATAGTGCTTTAGAAAATTTAAATTTAAAAAATTATACCAGCCAAGAGTGGTGGCTCACACCTATAATTCCAGCACCCACGAGGCTGAAACAGAAGAATCTTGGGCTCCAGGCCAGCCTGGGCTACATAGTGAGTTCAAGGCCAGCCTGGGTTAGCCAGCAAGACCCTCCCCATCTCAAAAAAGAAAAAAAAGTTAGATGAAATATAAACTCAGACTTCTGTTATTACATTCAAGAGGCATAAATAGCTCTCAGTGCTCTAAAGACAGGCTCAGCTCCTGAACTTGGATTTTCCTGTAGTGGGGAACTCATGACTTGCTTCTAGCCCCAAGGTCTGGGCTTTGGGCCTCACTGGCCCAGGGTTGAAGGCTGGTTGGGAATTGCCATCCTTCCCGGTCTATGTTGGGCGATTCTGAAGGACGGGAGAAAGGGAGCAGGCCAGTCTCACTGTGTCCCACTGTTCCCAGCATCTCTCTGGTCCCTCCTGCCCATCTCACTGCTGCGTGAGTCCTGTGTGCAGGGGAGATTTCCTCACCCACTGGCGGCCAGAGAAGAGAAAGGCCACCGTTAGTTGTCCTCATTGCACGGTCACTTCCCTGAACACGGCTTTGGGCACACGCTGACTTGTTTAGAACAGCAGAGGTCCAGCGAGAGGGTGGTCATCTTCGGCCGACATGGCCTGGCCTGGCCCGGGCCGGGCAGGGGAGGTCACTGTGGACTCTGTGTTGCAGTTCTCCAAGGAGAGGCACGTCATGGACAGGACCCCCGAGAGGCTGAAGAAGGAGCTGGAGGAGGAGCTGCTGCTCAGCAGTGAGGACCTGCGCAGCCATGCCTGGTACCATGGCCGAATCCCCCGACAGGTACCTCCACCCGGTCCCCTGGGCACACACGGTCACATGCCTGACAGGTACCAGACACCTGGTCCCCTGGGCACACGTGCTGGCCTCAAACCATGCCAGACTGACGGCTGCACAGGGCTCCAAAGTCTCATGGGAGCATGGCCCTGCTCAGACAAACTTAACTCAGACCTGTCTCCAGGGAGACCCTGGGAGACACTCCAAGGACCCGGTGCTCCCGGGACTGACACACATGTCAGAGGAAGCGGCAGCCACTGGGTCGTAGGCGGCCGGCTGGCGTTCAGATGACCGAGCTCTTGGCTCCACCACCTACAACTCGGACCTGCTTCCTTTTTAAAACAGTGAGTTACCTTCAGGTGACAGGGTGGGTGGCACAGACTGACAAAGCCACCTCTGCCCTAGTGGGACCAGCCAAGTAGTCACTCTTTCCATCCCTTCTCTACTGGATCCTGTGACCCAGAGGTGGAGAAGGCCTTAATGAGAGGCCACAGTGCAGCCTCGTGGTCTCAAATAGACTTTGTGTGATTGTCACTGGGTGACTGCCATGGATAATGTTTTCATGGAATACTACAAAAATTGAAAAGTAGACCAAGTTTGCACGACTGAGGTGTAGAAGTTCCCTTGCTTTTTTACTGGAAACTTGATCTGGCCAGCCACTAGCCAAGGACAGCAGGACAGGCAATGGGTGAACTGTGGGTGGAGGGAGAACACCATCTCATGAAATTGTTTTTAGTGTAGAGATTTTACAACACTATCAAAGATATGATTCTTTTTCCAACCTTGTTTTTTTTTCTAAGTTTAAAATCCATTGTATACAGTGTTTGTAACAGGGCAGTGGGCGTGGCTCAAATGGAAGACTGCTTGAGGCCCTGGGTTTTGTGGGGTTGAGCCCCACAAAAACATTACAACCTGGGCTGGTGGAGCAGCTCAAGTGGTAGAGTGCCTGCCTACATTTTTAATAAAAATGCCAACTGAAAATTATAACAAAAAAGTTTAGCAGGCACTGGTGGCTCATACCTATGATCCCAGCTATTCAGGAGGCAGAGATCAGGAGGTTTGAAGCCAGCCCAGGCAAATAGTTCATGAGATCCTATCTCAAAAACACCCAACACCAAAAAAACACCAAAAAAACACCAAAAAAAGGTGGAGTGGCTCAAGGTGTAGGCCCTGAGTTCAAATCCCAGTACTGTAAAAAAAAAAAAAAACACATTAAACTCTCACATATAGCTGTCTGTCCTGGGGGTAACTGCCACGAACATTTTGCTATTTCTCCCCCAGACCTTCTTAATGAAGAAGGTCCTGCTGCATATAGTTTTGGGGCCTCCTTCCTTCACTTCATAGCACATCCTGGGAACACTGGCCTGCTATAAAACGCTCTTCCCTGCCAGTCCACGTCACACGTGTCCAGTGGACATGCACCAGATCCACTGGACTGAGAGTCTCCTAGCACTCTGACCAACACCCTTTAAGATAACTACCGTGTTCATACTTGCAGTTATCTCCACAGGCTCCGTTCCCAGAAATGGAACTTCTATATGAAAACATCTTTAAGGCAAAGATGGAATCTTATGGAAACCATGGTAACACAGTATTCTAGGCTCGCAGAAGCATACCACTGATGGAAGGTGGGGAGAATCCCAGAAAAGCTTCAGAGTTTCTTAGGCTGACCACCGTCACCACCATCCTTCTCTGACTGTGATCACAGAATTTGTTTACCGTTTCCCACAAGTGCAAATCTTTGGCAGCACATCATAGTTGATGTCACTGAGTCCCCAAGAGATGATGTAACTTGCCATGCAGCTGGGACTAAAGGTGACGCACGCGTTCAAGGCCACAGAGCAACCAGGCTGTGGCACAGTGTAAATTCTCCCTTTGCTATGACCATCGTCAGCCACCTGTGAGCCTCCACCAAGTTCCAGATGCTGGGCTACTGTTCTGCTAGGTCACACATGCAAATGCATAGGCGTCACAGTGACTTTGTGAGATGAGGGACCCCAACCTGGCTTTGTCCCAGCCTTCCAGCACCATGCCTCTGGAGCCAAAGCCCTGAGTCCTCCACCCTCCACAGGGGTGTCTTAGGAGAGATCTCAGAGAAGCACTTCTGGAGACCAAACACCTCCTTCTCCCTCCACTGAGCGGGAGAGAAAAGCAGACCAGCCAGGCACACGTTTTCTGTTGCTCTGCAGCCTTCAAGTCTATGTCAATGTCATCTTCTGAGGACTTCCCCAGTCACCCTTTTTGAAGGACAGCCCTCTCGAGCATTTCTATCTCCCTTCCTGATTCTTTTCCCTTAACTTCACAAATCTGACATACCAAACCTCCCCCCAAAACGGAAGGAAGGGCCTGGGGGCATCTGCTTCATCACTGCTGTGACCCCAGCACCTGTACCGGTGCTTGGCACATGGACAGTCAGCAGATGGTCCTTTTGAGACAGGGTCTTGTGTAGCTCAGGCTGGCCTTAGCTTCCCTAGCGCTGGGACTCACAGGTGGGTGCCACTGCCCCTAGCAGCAGAGGTTCTTGACTTTGACAAGTAGAGAGCTGACTGAAGAGGAAGGGATGGCAGCACTGCCTCCATTCTGCTGATCCTAAGTCTGCCTTTCCTTTGCTTCCTCACCATCTTGGCCACAGGTGTCTGAAAACCTCGTGCAGCGAGACGGTGACTTCCTGGTTCGTGATTCCCTGTCCAGCCCCGGAAACTTTGTCCTGACCTGCCAGTGGAAGAACCTCGCTCAGCACTTCAAGATCAACCGGACGGTTCTGCGGCTCAGTGAGGCCTACAGCCGCGTGCAGTACCAGTTCGAGACCGAGAGCTTCGACTCCATCCCCGGCCTGGTCCGCTGCTACGTGGGCAACCGGCGGCCCATCTCCCAGCAGAGCGGGGCCATCATCTTCCAGCCCGTCAACAGGACGGTGCCCCTGCGGTGCCTGGAGGAGCGCTATGGCACCCCCCCGGGCCATGCCCCGGACGGCAGCCTCACCGAGGGAAGGCCGGACGTGGCCAGGAGGCTGAGCCTCACCATGGCCGGCGTCCAGGCCCGGGAGCAGAGCTTGCCCCGGGGAAGCCTCCTCAGGTAGGTCAGCACCAAGGATGGGGAGACCCAGGAAAAGGTGTGACTAAGTATGCCCGCCTTTAGGGGGACAGCTGTCATGAGGCCATGTGTGATCAGCTCACATGGAGCGGGAGCTGAACCGGGAGGCTGGCGGAGGAAGCAGGAGTTGGGTGGTTGGAAGGCTGGGCGAAGGTGGGGTGATCTTGCAAAGGGGAGGTGTTCCAGGTGAAGGACACAGCATGTAGTGTAGACATGAGGACAAGAGGAATGGGGAGAGAGTGGACGGGCTGGACTAGAGCAGGGGGTCCGTGTGAGGTAGGAGTGGGCGAGGTGAGGAAGCCCAGCCAGGCATGGAGGCCTGACCACCAGACTTGGGACTTGGAGGGGGCCTGCACAAGCATGTGTCCTAGGACAGAGCTGAGTGGCAGTGGGTCCAGAGGTGAGGAGAGAAGACCAAGAAAGCCGGTTAGGGAGTCTCGGAGACTTCCCAGGTTCTCCACAGTGGGGAAACTGGGGAGGGGACCTTGGAGACCATAGGAATGACCTTGTGAGGGGGGCTTTGGAGGAAATGCAAGCTGAGGGGGCCCCGAGTGCTGGTATCCAGGAGGGGTTGGCCTAAATGGAAAGCGAGGTTGACTCAGAGAGAACAGGTGGGATTTCAAGGGTCCAGTTGTGGGGAGTCTGGAGGCTTCTGAGCATCTGTGCATAAGCCATATCTATCCCACTTAATTTTCTCTCTGGACCAGGAGGAAATGCCATAAACTATAATTTCTATACTGCAAAAAAAAAAATTTTTTTTTTTTGCAACATACTGGATTCTGTGACTAATACAAATTATAGCTGTGCTCTACCCAGAGGCACTGGCCTGTTAGTCAGCAGCTCCCGCGGTTCCAGTGCTGGCTCCATGCTGGCCAGCTGTGCAAACCCAGGCAAAGCCCTCAACCTCCCTGGGCCTCCCTTTCTTCATCCAGAAAGATGGAGCTTGTGAGTCAAATGGTTTAAGATTTGCAAAGTGTTAGCTCAGTGCAGACACACAGTAAGTGGTGGGTGAGCGTCAGTCATTCTGGTGATACTGTTATTTGCAGGGGAGTGGAGGGTGCTCTCAGGGCAGTCAAGAACAGATATATAGAGTCAGGTGCCAGTGGGTCACATCTGTAATCCTAGCTACTCAGGAGGCAGAGACCAGGAGGATTGCGGTTCGAAGCCAGCCCAGGCAAATAGTTCACGAGACCCTATCTCGAAAAAACCCTTCACAAAAAAAGGGTTGGTGGAGAAACTCAAGGTGAAGACCCTGAGTTAAGCCCTAGTACTGCTAAAACAAAGCAGATATTAAGAAACCTTCCCTTTCTTAGTAGAGTTGGACATGAGATCCCTTAAAGCCTCTTTCTGACCCTTTGGGGAGCAGGGGGCTCCACTGTTGGGACAGGAGACGATTGTCACGGACAAGTGATCCTGGTTAAAAAATATTGTTATTGTTTGACTTTGAACTCTCAATCCTGCTGCCTTAGCTTCCCAAGTGCTGGGAACCACACCTGGTTAAAAGCCTTTTTTGGTGGGGGAGGGGGCAGGCCTGGAGTTCGAACTCAGGGCTTTGCACTTGCTAATCAAGCACTTTCCTACTTGAGCCACACCTTCAGTCTTTAAAAAAAAAAAAATTTTTTTTTTAAAGATAAGCAATGAAAGACTCAGTAGAAGTCTGTGTGGATGAGACAAGCCTAACACCCACTGTTCTGATTGCCCTGTGGGTGCAGAGTGTCCATTCCATGGGCAGCGGGCCAGGAATGTCTACAGCAGAGGTGGGGTGTGGAAGGCTAAGCAGGAAAGATTGCCCCGCTGCCTTTCAGTGGCTCCCAGTCAGCTCTAGCCTGGTGCCACCTGCCCTGCGGTCAGGCATGCCACCTGGCCGGCCACTGCCAGTCCAGGCCAAGGTGTGCCTTCTTGGCCAGATTGCATTCTGCCTGCCCCCTGCTCTGGGCACCTGAGTCTGACCATTTGACCTCGGTGGTCACTGCTTACACGTCCCTCCTCGGAAGGTGTCTTGCCTTTTGAGGGTGCCTGGACTTTCTCTGCTGCAGAGACTCGGGTTTTATTGATTTGTTTCTTTGCTGCTCGAAAAGGAGGAGAGACCTTCACAACTTCTGTAACGTGGGAGTGCTTTGTGCTTCTGGGAGGATCACTAAGGTTCATCCCATCTTGGCTGGTGTTCCTCGGGCAACAGAGAGTCTGCCGCTCTTGCTCGTTAGACAGGTTCCCAGTTGGGGTCAGGAAAGGACAGAAGCCATGACAGCATATGTGTCAGAAGTCACCCTCTCCCTTTCCCCTCTGCGGCTGGGCACTGGGCCTCCCCATTGCTTCTTGGTGACCGCGCTGGTCTCTTTTCTAACTCAGCTGGAGGGGGATGTCTGCGGCTCCCCTGTGGTCTGTGCCACACCAGGGTGCTGAGCTGTGCACTGGGACAGGAGGGGCCCAGCCTCCTTCCAGCCGACACTGAAGCATTATAGAAAACACAGGCTAGTTGAAACAGTCCTCCAGGGTCTGAAAGTAATTTCAGGCTCGGTTAAAAGTACACTTTCCAGTTCATCAGATTTTCCCCAGAGCATCGCAGAATTTCTACCCGGCTCCGCTCAACAGGATGGAAGGGCTGGGAGGAGGCATCGGGACATAGGACAGAGCACAGTCGCGTCTTAATCCCCCATGCGTGGACAGTCCTCCACTGTTAGAGTATGCATGCCATCTCGTTCTGAGCAATTTTCTTTCTTTCCTTTTTTTTAAGTTTCCATGACGTTGCAGGTTTTACGACTTAATGACACGTTTCTGCCCGTTTGTCTTTGGCTTCAGGAATAAAGAGAAAAGTGGCAGCCAGCCCGCCTGTCTGGATCACATGCAGGACAGGAGAGCCTTAGCCCTCAAAGCCCACCAGTCGGAGAGTCACCTGCCAATTGGTAGGTTGGGGAGCTTTGGGGAGGACGGGGGCGGGTGGCCCCAGTTACCTTCAGGCAGCTGCCCTGCTTCATCAAATGACCGAGTTTCAAAATGTCCTAAGGCTACAGGGAAAGTGCTGGCGGAACTCTGGCTGTGAAGCAATGAGCTTTATACTTAGGCCTCTTAATGCACCTTCAGGGGGCCATGATTGTCCCACTTCACAGCTGAGGAATCTGAGGCACAGAGCCGTCATGTAAGAGACTTACCAGTTTTGAATCCATTGATTCAAATCTCATTTGATAATGGATGCTCTTTCTGACAAAGAGCCAGGTCCCCAAGTTCCCTTCCTGGGCAGAGGGCGTGTGGGCTGGTCCTGGGGCTCCTGGCAGGGCAGCCTTCCCCATTCCCCTTCACGACCAGAAGAGCTGTAAAGCATGGGGTGTAGGAACCCAGGAAGCAATTACATCAGTAGGACGTGGGATTATTTTTCGTTCTTTGTATACATCCTTGGGACAATGTGATATTTCTGGTGCCCCTTTGTAAACCCCTTCTGTCACCTATGGAGTTATCTCCATGTCTTTTTCTCCCTTCCCCGTGTCTGGAGTACTCCTGTTAACACTGGCTGGGATCTGCCCTGACTTTGAGGGTGACTCAGGGCCCTTTATGCTCTGTGGCTAAAGACTTCTTAGGCTTCTTATGCTTCTTAGGGCAAAATTGCATTACTCACACACTCCTGGTCTGATTGTTCCAACTCTGTGACCATAAAACCATGCTGCAGACCAGCCCCTGGGATTTCAGATTGCCCCCAGAAGTGTGGGGTAGGTCGCCCCGGCCCTTGCAATGATCTGTACTGCTCTAGGATTGGCGTGACAGTCGCACCGTTTTCTTCGGGGATGAAGACCAAGGGCACACAGAGAGGACCGGGGAGCTGTCACTCTGGTTTTGTTCGTTTTCCGTTCTGCACAGCTGAGCTTTCTCTCACTTTCCCTCTTCTTCACAGGCTGTAAGCTGCCCCCCCAGTCTCCAGGCATGGACACAAGCCCCTGCCCCAATTCACCAGTGTTCAGGACTGGCAGCGAGCCCACCCTGAGTCCAGCCCTGGTTCGGAGGGTCTCCTCTTACACCCGGGCTGGGGAGGCGCTGCGGGGATCAGACAGCCAGCTGTGCCCCAAGCCACCCCCAAAGCCCTGCAAGGTGGCCTTTCTCAAGGCTCCCCCCTCTCCTTCAGCCTGGCTCAACTCGGAGGTGAACTACTGTGAACTGAACCCAGCCTTTGCCACAGGCTATGAGAGGGTGGCAAAGCTGCCCTCACGTGCCCGGGGCAGCCACCCTGAGCTGCTGACTGCCAAACAGAACGGGGCATGTCCCAGGAACTCTGGCACCAGCTACTTGATCCTTGACAGGGATGATGAGGTCAGACCTTGGGAACCTCTGGAGGCACAGGTGGATGAAGAACAGAAGGACAAGTCAGAGTTTGTGGTGCCCCTCATGGAGACCGAGTCCTCGTTCAGGCCCAATGACTTTGAGTCGAAGCTGCTTCCCCCGGAGAACAAACCCCTGGAGACGGCAATGCTGAAACGTGTCAAAGAGCTGTTCAACAGCCACGACCCCAAGGTCATTGCCCTGCACATGCTGAGCGCAGACTGCAAGGTAAGTCCCCAGCAGCGGTTCTGCTCTTTGAAGGTTTGTTAGGAGGGTTTGTCTGTATGTCTGTCTGGCCTCGTTCTGCCTTGCCAGTTAGGTGCTTTGCTCATGGGATAAGCTTGAAGATAGCACAGGGTGTGGGGATTTATGTACAGGGTGGGAGCCACGGCCAGGCAAAGGTTGCTGGGCAAAGGTTGCAAACGTCATCTTGCACAGGGTAACAGCAGGGCTGGACCCCCTGAAACCACCCTGCTGGCAGAAGAACCCTTAGTTCAAGGCTCTCCCCTGGCCTCAACCCTATCAGAACTGCAACCCAGAGTTGACGGAGAATAGACTGTCGATAAGAATGTCTTTCTGGAGTGGTAGAGCCTCGCTGATTTTATTTCATGGTATGTAACATTACATGCTATGTATTTATGTTGTTACTAAAAATGGCCCCTTAGGGTAAATAACATGTTTTAAGTTACCTTGACTTTAAAAAAAAAAAATTGCAAACTTAGAAAAATTGTAAAATACAGATTCAATGACAGGATAAAATGTACCCGAATCTAGCTTTCTGGTAATCACTAACAACACTGGGTGTATTTATGCAGAAAGGTTACACTGCCTTTGCTCCGCAAGTAGATATATCTGACTGACTGCACACAGCACTGCTCTGCGGTGCTGTTCCACATCCCGAGTCTCTCACTGAACAAGGCGTCAGGACTGTCTTTCCATGTGATTGAATTCATGTTTACGTCATCATCACTTTTGAAAGGAAGCTTTTCTCTCAGGTGTGGGTGACTTTTGTTCATTAGATGGTCCCAAGGTGACTTCATCTTTCCAAGAGATACTTCTTGATGACAGGTATCTCAGACTGGGCTGGGCTCAGCCCACCTCCTCAGTATAAAGTGGTCAACTGGTCCCCGGGCATGTGTGTGACAGATAAGGACTCAGTGAAAACATCTGAAGCCTCCTCCAATCACAGCGCAGGGAAGTCAATTAGCTTCAAAGGTCGAGCTTATTTGAGAACTGGATTTTCTTCCTGAGTCAGGATGGTGACAGGAAATCCAGTCTCTGAGTACCACCCCGGGGAATGCTGTCGACAGAAGTCTTAAGAGTTAGTAGATAGTTGCTGGCTATCCTGGGGTAAGAAGCCCCTCTTGAAACTGGGACTCACTGGGGTGACCCTCACTGCCCAGGCTGGGAGATGGTCCATGCTTGGGGGAAGAGGGTGCTGCTAAGTCAACCTGAGAGCCAGAAACCTGGGTGTTCTAGAAAAGCAAGGTCTTTGTCCTTGGGCGGTGCTCAAGGCAGTCAGGTAATTTACCGTGTTAAATTCACCTCATTCTAAAGCGAGCAAAACCTGTCTAAAGGTAACAGGGCTGAGGATTTCTGTCCCAGCAAGTCAGTCACACTGGATCTGAGCACAGAGCGTGTAGATAGGCCAGAGGTAAGATTCTAGCTAGGCTGAAGCAGCCTTAAAGGACCCTTGTGGAATCATGTTCCTGGCTTTATAGAACAGCTCCATCCTCAGGGGGACCAAGTCCTTCCGGTGGCCTTGAGCAAGGCTCCATGTTAGCTAGGAGGCAGGAGAGATGTGCCCACTGTCTGCTAAGGTCTAGAATGAGAGCCCAGGTCTGCTCTCACCTGAACATCGTGCCATCTACGCTCCTTCTTGCTCTAGTGCACTTTGCCTTCTGGTGGGGCCTCCCTCCCACAACTGCCACCTGACGGCCCTGGAAGAGGGGCTGGCATCCCAAGGCAGCGAGGAGGAGCCAGGCTGGACTCTCCCTACTCCAGCCCCAAGGGCAGAGTCTCCTGCTTCCCTCCCTCTACCACCATTTCCTTCTTCTCTTCCTGGAAGCACCAGGCACAACGTGTATCTCTAAGAGGAAAATTGTTTCCTACCCCCAAATACAGCAGCAGCCAGATGGGGCCACCCCGGAGCCAAGAGCAGCCTCTGGGCAGCATCTGGAGCCCACGTGCCCATTCCCACACATGCTCACAGCCTGGGTACTTATGCCCATTAAGGCCACCAGGTGGTCCTGAAAGCCCTGGAGACTGCCTGCCCAACAGTGCCCAGCCCCACCCCTCTGAAGTGCCTGGTTAGGAACCATGGGTCCCTTTCACCCATCCTGCAAATGGACACTGCCCCCAGCTCACCCACACACACCCATAGCCTTTCTGCAACCTAGTCTTTGCTCCTAGAAGTGAGGCCAGTGGCTACAAGAGGTTGGCCTCTGGGGATGGAGTCTAAATCCCATCACAGGCGGTTCTTTCTGTCCCCATCTGTAAGGCCAGATCCAGCTGCCCAGGTGGTCACTGGTGGCTAAATGCAATACATAGTCCATGTAAAGCTGTGGACACTTTGCCTGCCAGGGTGAGTGCTAAGCATACATTAGTACTATGCATGCAGACTTGATTGAGTGCCTACTGTGTGATACGGGAACTTGCACAGCACAGCTGGGCCGGCCGGGCCTTGAACGGGGGATGGAGCTGGTGGTCACGGTCCTCTGAGATGGTTGGCTGGGTGAAAGCAGAAAGCACCCCACAGGTGTCAGGAAGGTGCATTCAAGGAGACTCCTGATTCAAAAGCCATGGGGAGAGAGGGACAGCCTGGTGGGTCTTTCCCCAGTAAGTCCCTACTGGGCTGTCCTCTCACCGGGTTCCTGCCATCGGTGCACTTTACCATGAGTGCGGTGTGTGGATCCTTGCCTGCTGTGCTGGGGGCAGCAGAGCCAGCTAGAGGGCTCTGCAATCCCCTCGCATTTAGAAGGTCCCTTGGTCCTTCCCACGTCTGACCCTGGGTCACTGCAGCAGCCTTGAGGCAGTGGGATGAGAAAGAATGGGCCAAGTCCTGAAATCTGGGGCAAGCAGGTGTGTCCTCAAGAAAGGGACTGGCAATGGCATATTTACACTGCAGATGACTGGAGACTTCTTATTCTCCAAACACAGATCACAAGATGCCTGCTAGCCAGTCCAGAACACAACTGAGTCAGTGAGTCATTCTTTAGCCTCCCTACTCCCTACACAGTACGTGTGAATTAGACTGCACCCCAGAGAGGTGCATTCTGTGGAGCCTGTGACAGGACAGCTTTGAAACAAGTGAGGAAGTGTTCAGGACCTATGTCTGGGCTGTCTTGCCACGAGCAAAGTCTCTTTCCAGAATCTGATCTGACCAGAATCTCCCCCTGCCACATGGCCAGTGAATCACAACTTAGATCTTCAAGTAGCTTTTAGGGGTTTAAGGTCAGATGAACCCTTTGCAGAGTCCTCAGGCAAGGAGAACTTAGCTGCTTGCTAGGCCAGGGGAAGCTGAGATCCAGAGAGCAGAGGCGAGGCACAGTGTGAACGCTGCATCCTGCTCCAGGGTCTTCCACTGCACAGCTGGCTCCAAGGCTTCTTCTGCACAACCTCAGAAGCCAAGGTCAGGTTCATAACTCCGGCTGAGCTCCCTGGAAATTCATCTGCACCGCTCGTGTGCCTGGGATGATTGTGGAGGAGGGGAAGAGGATGGAGGAGAGGAATTGCACTGTGCGTGCCCCCGTCCAGGCCTGGTTAGCCTTGCTTAGTGTGCTGGCATCAGTGTGCCATGAGGTGTCACAGCCCATTTTAGAGATACACAGCCTCAGTTGTAACGTTTCAATGTAACGTGTAATAACTGTGCCTGGTCAGCTAATGTCTGATCAATAAACAGATGTGGGGAGAGAGAGTTGGTTCGTTCAAAGATTTTCTTCAAGGGAGATCTCTCAGGCGGAGACATGGTGTGTTGAAGAACTTAGGTTTCAAATCACTTCACGTGTGTTTAAGTTTCCAGACGTACAGTGCATTGACTGCGCCCAGGAGAGGCGTAATTAGGGTGATAACAGCAGGCCCGGACTGTTCAGTGAGAACATGAGTGACAGAGCCACTGCCGAGGGGAGCCTGGGTGCCGTTCTGCTTCTCCACTGCGCAGGATGGCACACAGCCGTCCTGTCGGCAGCAAAATATCGCAGCAGGATCCAGCCTGGGTCAGACCAAAGCTCGAGCGGCCAGTGTTCTCTGGTTGGACGAGAACACGCATCAGACCTGCAGATTCTGCAGGCCCGTGTAGGGGTCACCCCCAGCCTTTTCTTCTCTGTGTCCTAAGCTTTATATTGTAGCGTGTGTGTTAAGATGCCCCAAAAACCATGTAAGAATATCGTCAGCACTGACGTTCATATAGAACTCAACATCAAGTCCATCTGCAGCGGCCCACTTGAGGACGTTTCTTTCCACATCCTCAGTTCATGCTCCCTGGTGAGTGAATTTCACCTTGGCTCCTGACAGGTTGCTAGGATTCTTGACGTTTCTGAAGAGATGAAGAGGAACATGGGTGTGAGCTCGGGGCTGGAGCTCGTGACCTTGCCACATGGCCACCAGCTACGCCTGGACATAATCGAAAGGTGAGCGGCAGTGCGTCTGTGTTTCCCACCCTTTCAACCCTGTCAGGCCTTGGGGTCGCAGGTTCCAAGAGGAGAGAGCAGCCGCCAGCTGCACAGAGTCACGTCACTCCAGGACACGTGCCCTGGGCGCTCTGCTCAGAGGCCTGAGTGGCGCGTTCCTGGACTTGCACAAAGAGACTGTGCGGCACAAGTCAGGGACACAAGTGCCGTGGTGGATGTGAGAACGCCCTATCTGGGGCTCATGCATCGGTGTCACATCCGGCCTGCCTGGGGCCCGAGCCAGGGCGGTAGAGATCTTCCTGCTTAGGTTGCCTCTGGCCAACTCATGAGCTGGGCCCCTTTGTCACTTTGGAGTCTAAGTGTGCTTGAGAAATTAGGTGGGGGTTGGGAAGAACAGAGTCAGAGCAATGCTTCCTTTGGGGAACATGGACAAATGGGGTCAGAGGACAAGGGTACCAGCACTCAGCTCTCAGGCTTAGGAATGGTCTCTGCCCTCTTCTCACCAAAAGCCAGGGGCCTGGGCATCCGCTAAAACACACACTCAGTTCAGAACTGAGGGACACACAGCAAGGTGTGTCTTTAAGCAGTTCAAGACTGGACTTCCATATGACCACAAAAGCTGGCCTTTTTGACACATGAAAACAATAGACCATCTGGAGTTTTCTGTTTCTGTAACCAATGTCTGGTAGTTGTGACTGTGTGTGACTTTCCACGATGTTCACAGCACTGACCGGTTCAGCTTTCTGGGAGGACAGGGATCACAGTAGTCACCAGACACATCTGGCCATTGGGCACCTGCAACATAACTAGCTCTACTGAGGAATGCAATTTTCAATTTACTGAAGTGTAATTAGCAAGGCTGCCCTTTCACATAATCTTGGGGGAGCCATGGCTGTCAAGCTGTTGGGGGACTCAGTGTCGTCCTGCTTTGGCCTCAAGGCTGCAAATGCCTCCCGTCCTCAACACCAGAATGGCGAATCGAAGACGGAGGGAGGAAGAGGCCTGTGGACTTTGTTCAGGCACATCCGTGGTGTGAGGCTCTGGGAAATGACAGACTCAGCTTCTGAACAGCCTGTTTTTCCTGATGAGACTTCGAGACTCCACCTCCTCTCTCCTCAAGCCCGGGGCCTCCATTCCCCTGACACTCCTCTTACTGCCACTTGTCATGAGCTACGTTTCAGCCTGAAAATTCCCCAGGCCCCAGGCCTAATGGACCTGTGCAGGGACCCAGGCTCTGGGTTCCAGATGTGGCCAGCAGGTTCGGGCTTTTCTCTTGGCTGTTTTCCAACTGTCACTGATGTCAGCGTTCTTTTTGCTTTTCTCCTGATTGCCACTTGCCTGTTGCTTCTTAGCTTGTTTCCTGTCCAAGGTGGACTTGGGAGCCTGGGGAGTGGTTTATTACAGTGTGCTAACTAAATAAAGGCCAAGATCAGAGGGGTTCTGAGCTGTTGAGTGACGTCACTTACGTGCTTTGGAGCATCAAATAAAAATCACCCTCAGCACACTGAGCTGAGCGGGGCACTTGAGCACCTCCTGCCGCAGACCACCGGTGCATATGCGGCAGGTGCCACCCTGAGCCTTCACCCACAGTGGCACAGGCCCCTGGACCAGTAAATAGACACGACCGCTCAGTTAACCACTGACACAGTGCTCTGGGTCTGTGAGTTGACCTTGTGGGCCAGGGTTGTTGGGGAGATGAGATTCTGACTTTATTAGGATCTGACCTTCTAGCAAATTCCTGCCTGTTGGCTCTTCAAACTTTGTCCACATCCCCATTCACTCTGTGGCCTCCCCGCTGGGCTGCACACCACCATTCTTCTCTCCCCTCTCTGTTCTCATCTTCCTGATCCGGCATTTCCTCTGTTTTCTGCCCTTCCTGTTCCCCAGCTCAGGGGGCTCAATGGCTGTGGCCCCCAGCTTCTCCTAGAGTGTGTGTGTCTGTGTGTCCGTCGGTTAGGTGGCCCTCGTGTCTCTTGGACCTCGCTGCTGGGAGCACAGGCAGCCACATGCACCTCTGAGGAGCTTTGCCTCAGGAACTCCTCTTCAATGCCGAGGTCCAGGGTTGACCCTGGCCCTGTTTCACTGGACTTTGCACCCTCTTCACCCGCCTGGTCTCTGCTCAGTTCAACTTTCCAAACCAACCTGAGCATGTCACAGCACGGCAGCAACAGGCGTGTCAGCCGCTCCGTCTCTGGCCAACTTGGTGTGGTTTTCTCCTAGTTTGGGTGACCTGAGCCTGACCGCTGCCTTCCTCCCTCTCAGACACAACACAATGGCCATCGGCATCGCTGTGGACATACTGGGCTGCACAGGCACATTGGAGGACCGAGCGGCCACCCTCAATAGGGTCATCCAGGTGGCGGTGGAACTGAAAGACACCATGGGTGACCTCTACTCCTTCTCCGCCATCATGAAAGCCCTGGAAATGCCCCAGGTAAGGCACCTGCGTGTGCAGCCCCTCAGGAGTGTGGTGTGTGCACTCAGTGCTCCACAGAGGCCTGCACACACACTTGGCAAGTCACAGACCGTTTTGTCAATCTCAAAAGACAGACTGAACCTGAGCAAAAGCTGCTCGGGGGGCCACTGAGAGCAGTGTCATGAGGACTTTGTTCTGTTTATAAAAAACAGCGGGTGACTGATGACAGTCCACACTGTCTTTGGTGTACACTACGGAGAGTTGTCCTCACAGACAATCAGTGACCCTGAGAACCAGCGAGGATGAGGCTCTGGTCCTCCCATCGAGGCTGTTTTCGTTGGGTCCCGGGCCTGCAGGTAGTTTGGGTGATCATGAGGTTTATGTCAGAGACTCACTGGAGTGGTTTGTCTCAACGTCTTGTCTCCCAGTTGCCTCACGCAGACTCTCCAGTTAAACGTTCAGACTCCTGGCTCACCTGCCATATCCCCCCCAATTAGAGTCTCTGAAATTGAGTGTTTGAATTTATCTGCCTTGGCAGGGGTGTTTTAGCACGAGTGTCACGCTTGAAAGCCTGTATTTGAAATCATACAGGCCTCTTAGAGGAGAGTCACCTGCTGTCTTTATGGCTCAGAATCCCCTTTCCCGTTCTGTTCTTTGCTAGCCAGGTGCTTGCAGGATTTGGGGTTTGAGATCACAGCCAAGTCTACAGCCAGCCGCACACCAAGTGCTGTCTTTAGCTCGGCTGTTTCAGAGCCACCGGTCCTCTCTGAAATCCTGCCCGGTGTTCAGTGAGGGGAACAGTCACATGTCCTGCAAGTCAGCGTGCCAGGAATACAACTCCCTTAAGAATTAAAGCCAGATCACCTTAAAAACAAGAAGCAGAACAACTTAGTGCCCTCAACAGAATTTGGGGGGGGTGGTCAATTGGAATTATTTCAAGAGCTTTCAAAGTCCCCAGGAATGCCACAAGTTTGTAGGATTGATGTCTAAACTAAGCAACCCATAAATTCTGCCATATTTCCCACAACACGATTTCTGTGTAACAGGATTTATACTTTTTTACCCCAGTATTTTAAATTTGTTTCGCTTATTTTCCCTCATGGCAAACTGTCTATAATTTTTGACAGCTGAGCCAAGACCGGGCTGTGTGTAGAGCCTCCTCCAAGTGTGCCATGGGGGTGTTTTGTGGGCTCACATGGTTGCATCCATGATGTCAACCTCAGCACTGAGGGACTTTTCCCAAACCACCCCAGCGTGCCTCCGTGGGGTTCCCTCCTGTCCAGTGGCGTCAGGCCTTTTCCTGTGGAGCCCCAGCAGCGAGGGGCCACCATCTTCCCGGGTGCTCGGGCTTGGGGTGGGCCAGGGGAGAGAAGTGGCATTAGTAGGAAAACCCAAGAGGAGAGTCACGTCATTTTGATGTGGTCATCCAAACCTGCCCTCCTTCCACATCCAGGGAGGGCCTCCCCAGACTCAGGACTCTTGTGAAGGGGGAGGCAGGGAGAGAGGAGTGGCAGAGAAGAGGGCGGTGTGGTGGTGGCCTGGGGAAGACCTGCAGCCATGGATCCTTCTGATCTTCCTCTTGATACAGAGGGACTTGAGAGGCCAAGGCAGTGAATCAGCTCTACCACTGGCCAGCTGGGAAGGCCTGGCAAGTTACCTTGTCTCTTCTGTTTTCTGCTCTGTAAACCGAGGCCACAACCCCTGCCTCATGGGGCACTGTGGGGAGTCAGTGGAAGTCCCCAGCTGTCTCTCATTTTCCTGAAAGGTGGCTCCCTTCCTTGTTTCACTGGAGAGCTAAAGACACCTGGGCTGGCTGGGTTTGCAGTGTGGGTGACTTGCAATGAACAGCAATGACCATGCTGTTCCCAAAGAAGTGACTCAGGACTGGGATCACGCAGCCTGGGCAGCCTGTGCGCCCAGATCTTATGCACCGCACATTTGCACCCCCTTCAAGTGCAGCCTCGCCTGGACACGCGGGAGCAGCGGCCAGCATTTAAGATACATGTACCCTTTGACCTGACCGCTTCGCTCCTGGACATGTACGCTCCCGGTATTTTCATGCACGTACATGTTTACAGACTCTCACAAGGCAGTTCTGTGATAGGAAAACGTTTAAGCTCTCACGGAAGCTACAGAGTGGAACATTACACAGCACGGCAAAATAAGGCTGTTCCACAGATGCTTGTCCAGAATGATGTCCACACAAGGTGCAGAGAGGCCTCTGCAGTGTGATGCAGGTAGTCTTTTGAAGCCTGTGTAGACACGGCGCACATATAGGCGATGGAATCCAGCTGCTGTCTCCAGGATGGGCCACCAGAGCAAAGCAGAACACGGTCAGATGGGGCTATGACTTTTTCTCTGGACTCCCAGCCTCTTTTGACATTGTCACCATATGCCTTTATCTATAACCTGGTCCAAAACTTAAGCAGAAAGGCAATCTTTTTAAAGAACCCTTTCCAAAAGCTAGCACCTTTCTTTCTTCCAGATCACAAGATTGGAAAAAACATGGACTGCCCTGAGGCACCAGTACACTCAGACGGCCATCCAGTACGAGAAACAGCTGAAGCCCTTCAGCAAGCTTCTGCACGAGGGCAGAGGTGAGCAGGGGGACAGGCCGTCGAGGGTGACGGGTTGTGTTGTCTGTTTGTCTGTCTGAGCTGCGCAGGGCACAGCTCGAGGACCTGGGCTGGCTCGAGGTCTCGCAGTGTGTGCAGAAGCCTGAACTTGCTGCAGCACGCCTGTCCTTGTTCTTCAGAGTCCACGTGTGTCCCCACGAGTAACGTATCGGTGCCACTGCTGATGCCTCTGGTGACCCTGATGGAGCGGCAGGCCGTTGCTTTTGAAGGGACTGACATGTGGGAGAAGAATGACCAAAGCTGTGAGATCATGCTGAACCACTTGGCCACCGCCCGGTCCATGGCCTCGGCTGCAGACAGCTACCGGACGAGCGCCGAGCGGACCCTGGCAGGTGGGAGCGGGGTGCCAGGCGGGAGCGGGGTGCTGAGCCGCGCTCTGCCCCGGGCGGGATGGGAATGGAAGCGCACGGATGCTTGGTTACTAAGGGCACGGCAGAGGAGAGGAGAGGAGAGGCTTGGGAATCCATTTCCCGTGTGACTGCTCAGATGACCCAGTGTCGTTCGGAGTGTTCTGTGGAATCTGGTGTAGAATAAACAGACAGGGGCGAGAGAGTGTGGCACTGGGAAAGGTGAGGAGGAGGTTACTTCGGTGTCACTTGTCTGCGTTCCTCTGCCTTCCCACGCACTCGTGCTCTGAGCATCTGCCGTCCGTCCTGGAAGTGGCATGAAAACTGAACTTTAAGTACTAAGGTGACAAAGCAGGGGCCTCAGGCACAGGCTTGGCCCGCTGCAGCACCAGGCTGAGTGGCTGTCCTCAGGCTGCTTAGAGGCCTTTAAAGACTTCAGCCATGCAGGAGAGCAGGGTGTGCGATGGCAGCACGCATGCAACATGACTGATCTGATCAGAGACGCAAAGAGGAGGTGTGTGGGGACAGACAGCTTCCACAAGAAGAAACACCCCATGGATGGCAAAAGCACAAAAGTGGTTAGCCACAAAACAGAGAAGGGAAGGATGGGGACCCCACTCAGAGGTAGAGCACGGTCCCAAGCGAGCGTGGGAAGGGAGGGAACCCCAAATACTTGGGTTTGGACTCTGTGACCTCAGGACTGGCCACAGCTGTCAGGAAGGGCTTAAAACATGGGCAGGTGTGGTGGCTTATGTCTGTAATCCTAGCTTCTTTGGAGGCTGAGATCAGAGGATCACAGTTCAAGGCCAGCCTAGGCAAAAAAAAAAAAAAAGGTTGTGAGCTCCATCTCAGTGAAAAACTGGGTGTGGTGGTGCTTGCCTCTTATCCTAGTGACGGAAGGAAGCTTAAAATAAGATTGGGGTCCAGACCGACCTAGGTAAAAAGCGAGACCCTGTCTCCAAAATATCCAGAGTGAAAAGGGCTCAAGGTGTGGCTTAAGTGGTAGAGCCCCTGCCTTCAAACCCCAGTACCACCAAAAACAACAAAAAAAAGGGAGCGAGTCACCTGGCAGGTTTGTGTTTTAAAGGGCATCGTCCTGGTGTCTGTGGCCGAAGGCGGGGGACTGAAGACAAAGCCCCTTGAGGAAGTAGGGGTTGGGAACAAGGGCTTTAACCAGGGAAGCCGTGGGGTGACTCAGATCCATAAGGGGAGGTCTGTTCGTCTCACCCTAAAAGGCGCGCTGCCTCAGAACCTTAAAAGATGGGATTACAGTTTGCAGTGCGTCTGCTGTAGGTATAAGCACCACAAATTTGGGTTGTTTTCTCTCAAAAAGTCCTTGGGTTCAGCAGTGTGGGACTCAAGCAAGGAACGCACACAACTCGGCAGGTATGGGGTGCCTGCCTAGGAGTGGGACGAGAGGTGGAGGGCACTGGAGGTCGCACAGACCAGTATTTTATGGGCTTTTGGGGAAGTGTGCAAAGCCCTTAAAGGTAGCAGTGGGATTGTTCACAAGTCCCCTCTGCTGGAAGCGACTGTGAGAACGGTAGGGGAGAGATTTTACACCAGCAGGGCAGGGCTCGGGGTGCGTCATGTGTCACTTGGACGGACGAATGAACGTGATCGTCAGGAAAGCAGGCTTCTGTGATCCAGGTGGCGGAGTACCCATAATGGGGTAAATGATCCCAGCGGCGAGACTTCTCCCAGCACCGCTGCCTGGCCCTCAGGCCTTCAGGCCAGAGTGGAGGGTCAGGAAATAAGCCCACGCCAGTGTGATCAGCTAATTTTATTTTTTTATTTTCTTCAGTAGTGAGGTTTGAACTCAGGCCCTACACCTTGAGCCACTCCACCAGCCCTTTTTTGTGATGGGTTTTTTTTGAGATAGGGTCTTGCGAACTATTTGCCCAGGTTGGCCTCGAATTGCGATCCTCCTGATCTCTGCCTCCTGAGTAGCTAGGATACAGGCGTGAGTCACTGACACCCAGCTCGGATGATTTTTTTTTTTTCTGCTGTTGCATTTTTAAAAAATTAGGATATATTCCTTGAACAGGGGAGAGTCCTTGTGATAATTCTGGATGGACCTGTACTGTACATTAGTTACATCGCCCCCATTGTCTCTCCCCCTCAATCCCCTCCCTGCCCCACTTAAAGCAATTGCAAGAGGTTTCTTTGTTCTGTTTCGTACAAGTATATGAAGTCCATCCATCATATTCCCTCACGTTCATCTCCTTCATTCACCCTCCCCCGTCACCAGCTGATTTTTGACAGTTCACTGGATAAAGTACCGCTTTTAATAAACATCCGCAAAAAACAGCATCTGAGCCCTTCCTTCATATCACACACTAAGCCAAACTGGATGGGATGCCCAAAATACAAAGCACAGCACCAAGCACCTATAAGAGAACAGGAAAAATCTCTGTGCCCTTGATTTAAGACACAGAAAGCATGACCTGTAACAGAAAACGGTGACAAATTGTTAAATTTTGCCCTTTGAAGCAAACCATTTAGAAAGTGAAAAAAGCAAAACACAGAGAAGACACGAAAACATAAATGGAACCCCAAAGACAGAGAATCTAGAATTGCTACCAAAAAGAACAGCATGCTGGGTACCTCACACCTGTAATCCTGGCTACCTCTGAGGTGGAGACTGGGAGGATCGGGGCTCAACGCCAGCCCAGACAGTAAATTATCAGATCCCGATCTCGGTGTACCTGTGATCTCAGCTACTCAGGAGGCCTAGGTAAGAGGATTGCTATCAGAGGCTGGGCAAAAACATGAGACCCTACCCAAAACACAGCTAAGAGCAAAAAGGAGAGTGGCTTAAGTGGTGGTATACCTGCCTAGCAAGTGCGAGGTCCTGAGTTCAAGCCCCAGGATGGCCCAAAAGAAAGCAACTCCAAGTTCTGAGTTGACAGCATACAGATAAAGTGAATCCCTGTGTGAATACGAGATGGTTTGACCATTTTGGAATAGTTTATGGCCATTTCTTTAAAAGTAAACATAAACTTACCACATGGTCCAGTACTTCTCGTAGAGAAGTAGATACATGTTCACACACGGACACCAATGACATTACTCACAGTGGCCAAAAAGTGAAACCGTCCACAGTGCAAATGTGCAGGAGCTGATGAATGGATGAACCAAAGTCTGGCAGGTATGTCCGTGAACAATGACTACTACTCAGCACTGAAAAGGAGTGCACATGCAACAAAGGGGTGAAGAAAGGTTGTGACCCCACACTTGTGGAGTTTATGGCGAAGGCACCACGATAGCAGCTGGACCTGGGGAAGTTACGGGACTGGTGCGGAGACTCAGGGACTTTCTAGGTAGCTGTACTGTGGTAACCCACCTCACCCGAGAAGGCCCAACTGTGTGGCTTGTAAATCCTACATTCCGAACAAAACCCAACCAGGTGCGTGACACTTGCACGGCAGCCCCTCCCCAGGGCTCCCACGCCCGGCTCCTTCCACCCACTCTGATGGGCTGCCTGGCACCTCAAGGCACTCGGGGTTTGAGGCTGCACGAGTAGATCCAACCTCTTTCTTCAGAACATTGTTTTCAGGCAGGCTTTTGTGCTTTCTGCCTGGGCCAGCCCCAGACCAATTTTCCTGTCTACACCTGTGGAGGGCCTCAGTTCACAGACTTACAGCCACCACATCCATCCAGCTTGTTCTTTGCGATGGGGCCTCGCCAACTTTTTGCCCAGGCTGGCCTCCTGCTACAACCTTCCTCTCTCCGCCTCCCCCAAGTAGCTGGGATTACAGGTGTGAGTCACCTCACCAGGCCCATTTCCATCCACTCTAAGTAACTTTTCATTCACCATCAACAACACTGTTTTTAAGCAGAACTGAGGTTATCTGTTTGGTTTTTATTAGGTTTTCAACCAGATGAAGAAATGAGTGATATCCTCAGGACGGAATTTCAAATTCGGCTGCTGTGGGGTAGCAGAGGTGCCCAGGTCAATCAGACGGAGCGGTACGAAAAGTTCAACCAGATTCTGACTGCCCTCTCCCGCAAACTGGAGCCCCCTTCTGTGAAGCAGGCGGAGCTCTGACCACCCAGCTTCAGCTTCTCCAGCTCCAGCTGGACTGGGGAGGCCCATCTCCCGACGGGGCACTGCCGTGCAGACCTGACAGATGCAAGTTCTCAACGTCCACAGGATGTTAAATATGTAGACTGCACAGAGCACGCTTATTTATGAATGGTTTAAAATTACTACTGATTCTTAAGCGAGTAATTTATTATTAAGGTTAACTATTGCTAATGTCGGGGAACTTGAGAAGCGCCTCGCTGCCCTGGCAGGGTGCAGCCTGTGATCGTGGTGTGTGAGCATTTTAGTTTCAGCTCCATCTCAGATAAGTGTAGATGAGTCTACAAGAACAGCACGAGACGCTTCAGAAGGTATCAGTTGTATGATATTCTCTGAGTATGAACGATGTAAATAGTCACCGATGAAAATAAATACAGCAATCTTTTTGTGAAAGAGTTGTAGCCGGTCTCTTCAATACTAACTCACTTTGCTATGACAGTTCTACCGCCTGGCCTCTGGTGGCACTTTCTTCTCTAGCCACTAGATCGTGACAGTAAACCAAAATGAATGGAAGCGGAATGGCAGCTGTAAGGTTTCTTCCCTCCCAGACAGGGTGGATGGTGGCGAGAGGCAGCACCCTCCCCGGCATTTGACTGACTCCTGTTCCAAAGAAAAGCTGTCATGTCCAGGGATGATGATAGAGCCAACAGCGCATGTGTAGAGAGGGACAGGAGGGGCTTTGCAGGAACTGGCGTTCGTAATTATGCAGGGTGAGTCCCATGAGAACCGTCCCAGAGGGGATACTTTCTAGTTTGTCATGTCCCTCTCCACTTTTACTGCATTGTAAAAAATTTAGAACATCGTAAGATTGTAATTAAATTTTTCCATCAGTTAACTTTTTCTTCCTTCTTTAGAATGATGTTGCGGCCATACCAAGTTTTTTGTCCATCTTTTCTGAAGCAGGCTCTGAAAATGTCTTCATAGTATGAAACAGCCTTTAAGACATGATTAATCCTGGATATCACACTGTAACTTGGGCATCTTAACTGTGCCTCTGGAACCAAGTGTGACTCTCTGTTTAATGCAACAGAAACATTAATTGCAGACCCTAGACTCTCTTTTCCCATTAATTGGCCTAGAATCATGAGTACTGTCCCCTTTGAAGGTGCCATCACTTTTTTTTAAACCACTTTGATAAGCTAGTCATTACATTTTTTATTTGTTGAAAAAAACCTAATTACACGTCTACTTTTGGCAAAGGGGTAATTCAGATGATCTTTAAGAGAAACTCAGTCCTGAGTTTACATCAGTGAACGTGTTTTAACCAACTGTGAAGCTCTATAGAAAAGGATATCCCAAGGAACACAGCTCTGCTCCCCACCCAAAGGTACAGAGATTTAGATCAACTCTGTGAGAAAACTTAAAAACCTGGGTGGACCTGGTGGCAATACGAATGTCAGCTCAATGAATCGGGGACTGTGTCATGGGGAGAAAAACCCATCTGCCAGAAAAGTAGCAGGTGTATTAGGGCTCTCCAGAGGCAGAACCAACAGCACGGTATATAAACAGAGACATGTGAGGGGCATTACTAGCAATTGGCGTTCATGACTTTGGAGGCTAAGTCCCATGACAGTATCTGCAAGCTGGTGACCCTGGGAGTTTGTGTGTGGCTCTGTCCAACTCCAAATGCCTCAGAACCAGGGAAGCTCATGGTGTTAACACTCAGTCCAAGGCTGATGGCCTGAGAGCCTGGCGCCCAAAACTCAAGGCCCTGCAGTTCCCGAGTCCAAAGGCAGGAAGCACCCAGCTCCAGAAGTCACCTTTGCTCTGCTGATGTGCTCTATCTGAACCTGCAGCCAGCTGACAGTGCCACCTACACGGGGGCTGGAATCGCCCCACTCAGCCCTGCAACCCACATGCACCCTCCTCCAGAGACACCCTTCAGACACAGTAATAACACTTCAGTGGTGCTCCAGGTAGCCCTCAACCCAGCCAAGCTGACACCTAAAAGTAACCTTCAGACCACAAAACATGCCTGTCTTCACGTACAGCTCCAAGACGAAAGTGCTTAACAATGACAGTCTTTGGTGAGGATTTGCAAACCACAGGCCTGTCCGCATACAAGTCTGCAGTAAACTTTACAAAACTCAAAAACCTCAAAATCGATTACAGTGGTCTTGACAGCTATCTGCCAGATAGGAGATACAAAAGCTCACTATTGAGCTAGAGTTCAAATCAAGAAACTGTCGTCAGAGATTTGTGACAGAGTGATACTGCTGACCTGTGGGGGAAGGATGGCTGATTAAGCAGATGGAAGGGAGACAAAAGGCTCCGTAGCTTATCACAATACAATCTAGAAGAATCAACCACTGCAAGGGAAAGGCAAGAAACCACAGCCCTTTCAGAACACAAATGTCTAAAGAAAAATGTTTTCAACAGAACAACATCTTTTTGTAGCCTGAGAATTTCTTACACCATGTAAGAAAGGAACAGTTAGGAAAGGCTGGTCTTCTCAGAAGACAGCCTCCTGGTGCTCACAGCCTCGCGTCGTCCACACTGCACAAGGGTTGGTCCATGTGACCGAGAGCGTAGGGCAGTAGTGACTTGTCACGCCTGCGACTTCAGGACTGTGGCTTCCGTCTTGAGTTTTTGTGCTCTTGGACTGCTCACGGGGAAGCCACAGTCACATTTTGAGCACGGACCGTTCCCATGGAAAGGTCCACGTGGTAAGGGACCAAGGACTGTCAGCAACCAAAAGAATGATCTAGGAGTGAATGCTCTAGCCCCTGTTAAGTTTCAAGTTCAGAGCACAACTGGCTGTCATGCAACTGCTTAGTATTAGAAACCACCAAAGCATGAAGAATGGCCATGGAAGACGACCAAAGGAAAAGAATGGACAAAGTTAAAAACAGGCTTTTCACAGAAGGGTAAACACAGTAAGCAAGTAAACACGCTCACTATTAATGGCGAGGGAAACACAAAATACAATGAAGTGCTTTTACATCTCCTGAATTGACAACAACAGCGAAGTCTGACTCCTAAGTGCTGGTCAGGATGTGCAACGTGAGTAACTAGCCAGCAACTGTGTGGGTTAAAAGTAGCCAATACCTTTAAAATTGAAAATTAATCTAGCCCTTAAGTTAGGGATTTCACTACTGTATCAGTAAGTATACCCCGCCCAAGAATAAGCACACTGCTTGTAACAGTGGAATTCAGAGAACAGACCAAATGTCATCAAAAAGATGGGTAAATTGTATGTATTTGTGTAATGCAATACTGAGCAGTGGAATGAATTATGCATAAACATGGATAATTTCACAAAGGTCAGCTGAAATGCAAGTCTCAGGACACAATGGAATATCCAAAGTATGTGACACATGTGCTGTTAAGACATTCGTGTCCGTAATATGCAAGTAAGTCCATAACCCATGTGCAAATCAGCAAGAAAAATACAGCTTTTCTCCTTTAAGTAAACTACAATTGAAACTTTATCAAATGGTAAAAGCAGCCCAGATCATTTGTCATTGTTAACAATCTTCAGATCATTTGTTCAAACAGTGGTTTGCTACGGTGGTCACCAGGTGAGTGACGAGTCCAGCCAGGGAAATGCCAACTTTTCCAATGACTTCCCCTGAATTCAGTCAGTAGTTCACAGCTGCTGTGTGTGGCACCTGAAGAGGAGACCACAGCCATACCACCTCTTCCCGACTGCACAGCACTATCTGGGTGCAGGCTACGCCCAGAGCTGTGGCAGGAGCTCCCAGTCCCAGCAGAGTGGAGAAAGCAAAGAAAACATAGTGAGACAGTGGGGGATTGCACCCCTCATCTGTCCCACTCTGTACCCCAACTGTGCCCCCACACTGGCCAAGCAGGAAACCACCACTGACTCTGGGATGCCTGTTGTGACACAGGACAGAAGCCACAGGGGAAAGAATGGAGAATTTAAAACACACACCAGACAAGTCTACCAGGGCTTCCTCCAGTCCTGAGTCAGCGACTCGGTCTGCCGAGCAGGCCAGTAAGGGGGAAACTGGACTTGGGGAGGTGTAGAGGGCAGACAAATGTCACACTCCTGCTGAGGACCTGCCAAGGAAAGAAGGATGAGAACACAGCAGCCGTGGCTCTGTCACTTTGGCAGAACTCTTCTATGTAGGCAACGGTTCCTCTTCTCACATCTCAGCCGAAGACGGCCCCTCTCCACCACACAGAATGAGCTCCCAAATAAAGTGAAACTGCAAAACCGTCAAAGGGCCATTACTGCATTGTTAACTCTCCAGAGACCTGGCCTTGCCTCGCTTTCAAAGGATGAGGCAATTTTCTTTGGGGGGTGTAGAGCAGGGCCCCTCAGCTTAAGAGCCCTCTTGCACCCAAAGGCTGCGGATACCAGAGAAGATTCCCCAATACCTGAAATAAGGAGCAGTAAACCCTTCAGCTGTGTTTCCAGCATTCATATCCAAAATGCCGCATGTCATGAGGTGCTGTGTGATTTCTGAGACAGACCACAGGAGCTGGAAAACCTGCATGATAACTACTTTTACCACTGTTCTGAGCTAGCATTTTCACCAGCCAGTCTGGAGGCCTTCACTGTGGCTTGCCAGAGTGCTCTGGACCAGAATGGCTGTGCCCACTCAGAGCATTTTCATGGACAAACATCAGAGATGTTTGGAAAGCCAATCAGGTTCAGGAAAAAAATACACGTGAGAAAAAAAAAAAAACAAACTCAAAGTTCAAGATAATGGTACTCTTCGAAGAGGAGATGGCAATTTTCCATTTGTTAAGTGGGGTGACATTTTACTGTCCTTCATAACATACCTAGACATATTTTCCCTAAGAAAATGTCGGCCCTCAGGCTGACATTCTGGGTTATCAAATCAGCTTGTCACAACACCCCAGTGTCTACGCTATCCTTTTTATTTTTTTCCCCAGTGTTGAAGTTTGAACTCAGGGTCTACACCTTGAGCCACTCCACCAGCCCTTTTTTTTTGTGATGGGTTTTTTCAAAATAGGGCCTCACAAACTATTTGCCCAAGCTGGCTTTGAACCGTGATCCTCCTGATCTCTGCCTCCTGAGTAGCTGGGATTACAGACGTGAGCCATGGCGCCTGGCTCTCTACATTATCTTACAAAAATGAGTGAGAAACTTTGTCAAATTAAAATCAAAGCATTAACTATGTCTTAGTATCTAAGCAAAGGAATGAGTTTAGTTTGACAAGACTTATCTTAGGAACCTGGGTCAGCTTCCCATTACATTTTCCCCTAAATGCTAACTGTATCTAGCACTTCAAAGGTTTGTTGTCAAATTCCCCAGAATTACTCTTCAAAACTGAGGTTTGTGTCTTTTATATTTTTTATGGTCTCCCTAGTTGTTGACAGTGACCATCTTTTCCAAGAGGCTGGTTCCTTTTCCTTTTGATAATATTGTTGTAAGGCTCATCTCCCTTAACACCCTGACCTTAGCTCAGACAGTTAAAAGCCATTCTGTCTTGCACTTTTTAAATATTTTTCAAACCTCTGTCCATCAGAAGCTGTAACATTTAACTACATACTCGCTATTTTCATTGTTTTGTGTGCCCTTGGCATTCCTATCTCAATCTTCATCATCTCAACAGTTGCAACCTCTCATTGCTCAGGGTCTACCCTGAGGTTTTACTCTCTTCGTGGGTTTCTAAGTTTGCAGTCCTAGTTACCATTTGCTTTTTTAAGTAGAATCATCCTACAAGTCGCAGTAACGTGCCGCTAGTCTGGCAGACATGTCTTCAGCCTGCTTTACAAGCCAGGGAGCATGGTGCTCACTGATCAGGAGCCAAGCAGAGGCTCAGGAGTGCTGGTTAGCATGTGGAGGACCATGTGGTCCAGAACAACTCTGTGGATACAGAGGACAAGATGGTATCACATGGCTCCTGTTGAGCAGAGAAAGCTCCAAGTTATTCCACGCAATTTAAATTCACTCTAAAGAAACAGTTATCCTTTAGGAAAGCTAAAACCAGAAGACAACTGCTTTCCAAAAAAGGCTGACTCACTTGAGGAATTTACCGTCTACTTTGTAATGGTCTGATATTTAGCACATTTAAGAAAATCATTACATCTCTGAGGTTCACATAACAATAAATAACTACACACCTTAACTGACCATGAAAAGACTGATTTATTCCATGAAAATCTTCTCAACAGAGAACACTATCTTAAACAAAGCATTTACCATTAAGAAATCAACATGTGCACAAAGAGCAAAAATTACTGAAAATTAAAAGATTTCTTTTGGACAACTCACATGTTCAAAATTTAAGAATGATTTATGATTTGAACTGTGCAAGTACAAATGTCTTTCCTATTGTAATAACCCAAATACAAGTTGAACTATTCCACATGAAGGAACTTGCCTCCTACGGAAGCAAATCTTGCTTTTAGAAAAACAAACAGTAGCTTGAAAAGAACAGTAAGTCCTTACAAGAAAGTCTTAAACTTTGCCCTCTGTGGCTGTTAGCCAAAAACACATGAGCACTTCGGTCTTTGTACAGAAGACAAACACAACCAGTCCCATCTCCTTCTTGTTGCTAACCTTAAAGTAAAAATAGCACTAGTTTTTAAAACTACATCATGTAGTCTGTCAGTACTGAATAATGTCACATTATATAAATAACCCTGTAACGAGATTCAATATCTAAACTTTATAGTTTACTAGCCTCAAAAGTAACACACCCCCCATCAGCTGTGTGACAGTGGTGCACTAGATCTTAGGAGGCTGTAACTTTCACACAATTGTCATTCAGCTTTAGTATAACTGATAGTATGATCAAATAACACTGGAAAATTATTAAAGCAGTCACACGGCTTCTAAAATATTTGTTAAAATTCAATAATACACAGACCATTTCACGTTCTCTTTCTCCCATCAAAACAGTAAAGAATCAAATTAATGAAGCTTCAGCGGTACAAATGACCCCCCCACCCACCCAACTCCCTGTTACACCACCACTAAGAAATTAGTTCCAATACAAGTCATGAACAGAATCACAAATGTGAGGCAGGACGACATAAGCAATGGGACCACTAACAACAATTATATTTACAAGTATAAACATACAGAAATTTTCATTTTACAAGTAAAAGTGCACATAGATAATTACAAGGTTTCACTAAATTTTATCTGGTTCAAACAAAAGCATCACATGGGAACAGACTATCACTGGAAGAATCAAATTAAAAGGCAATGGGGGAGGTCCACAAAACTTCTCATAAAAACACTGAGTGAAGCACAATGGACTCAGCTATGTTGAGTTATGTTGAGTTGAAGCGCAAGTTTGAAGATGCACCATAGTACGTGGCAGAGCTCCAAAGCCACCTACCAAGGCTACGTCGGCCGCCCAGCGTGCGGCAGTTAGAGGAGGGTCGCGTGAGCTAGCACACAAAGCCCTTTGTGGGATACTGTGCTGGCAGTGTTGGCAGTCACTCAGTAGGGTTAGGCACTGTAGTTTAAGGCAGCACTTGAATGGAGGCAGCTGACTTGAGGCGCTGACTGGATTCTCCCACACTGAGGTGACGATGGATAACATTGCAAAGAGTTCTCAACTGGGCTGTAGGCTAGAGCAGAGATCTCTCTCTTTTTCTTACATGAATACTTCAGGTTCACAGTCTACGTCTCCACAATGCCAAAACTGGAATGTCTGCAGTGGGGAAGTTATAGCAGTACACACAGACACTAAGATGGAAACATTAGTGCTGGAGATGTCTGACAAGGTGATCTGCACTACAAACGTAAAACCAAACAAAGGCTTTGACAAGAACAAGGGACGATAAAGACATGCCTGAGAAATCTAACCCGTCACTCTAGACATGCAACAGGATGTTAAGCAAGCACGGAGGTGGCACAGGCAGACACTGACACATGGCAAGGATTCAAACAGACAATGGGTCTAAAAGCCAATTAGGACAGAGCTGGATGGAGACAGTGCTGTCAGGACAGCCAAAAGTAAGACAAAACTGTATGGCAGCTCTGCGTTCTTTCTGATTTGAATGTCAGTAAAATAAATGGAGAAAGAGCCAGCCATTGTTGGCTTTTTCCTTTCTTCCATGTGAGTAATTGTGAACTAGGAATTTAAGGGTTGGTATTAAAACTGTTTTTCAAAAACAATGCATGGAAATGCTAATGAAGTTAGTAAAAAAAAAAAAAAAAAAACCATGTCTGCATGCACTCATGCAAGTTGCTTCTTTCACTCTCTTTGAACCTGACACTCTAACACCCTCCCCCCAAAGCAGCTGCATGTAACCTCCTTCAACATCTTGCCCATTTCCTCAGAAACCCTCTTCAGGAACCTGCAGTCCAGGAGGAAAAAGAAAAGAACAATTACTGAAGACCTTTGGTAAGACCAAAGGAGTATTCAGTTTAAAGTGTCTGTCCCAAATGTCTCTAAAATAATTTTATAGTCAGTTACTGAAAATACCAGAAAAATTTGAAGCTTGAGTAAAATCAAGGGGTAGTCTTACTGCTTTCTCCCTTTACTTCCCTGCACAACTAACTCAATGTGATCAAATGATTACATTGTATGATCCTTGACTGTACAGTGTTTCCAACAAATGCTTGCTGAAATAAACTGGAAAATAATCTATTCTAATAGCTGATGACTCAGCTAAATGATTCCCTAAATGGTGGCATGGGTATCTTCCTTCAACCTACTCAAAAAGTAGTCTTTCTTCTAAAAGTAAACTTTGCCCCATCTCGCCTCAATTGAAGACTTCCTCATCATCAGTAATCTAGAATCTACTTTCCTATGAATAACTGCCAAATGCTAAATAATCACTGAAGTGATTCTCCCAAAAGACATTTTCAAGATTAAAAATACAAGCATAAGATTAATTAGGAAGGAAGTTTGAACATTGTTGAAAATTACCAGTAAACCTGAAATATTGCCCCACATCTCAAAAGAAAGCTGTTTTATTCACAGGAGCTAGGTAGGCCCAGGGGCTTTACACACCTTTCCATTAGCTGTCTACTAAAGATTATGCACTAGGGGCTATTTTCTTCCTTTAGGAAACCAAAGTTGACAATAGGGAGGAGAATGGGAATGACTGCTGTTTTACTCAACTATCCAACTACATTTCTTCCTAGAAACTGAAGCTACAAATTCAAACTCCTAGAACAAACTGCTCTTTTGGGAAACCAGCTTTCTCTAGCATTTCAGAGCAGTTTTACTTAGTTGAATTCATCACAGTCACTGTGTTTTCTGAAGTACAAGGGGTGGGAGCATTCTACCTATGGATTCCTGCCCAATGATCAAATTACTCTATTTTTTAGGCAGAGAACACCAATCCTTCACGCAGACTTAAGCAGGACGCAAAGCAGCAGGCATGAAGCTTCACACCAACATTATTCAAACAGTAAGTCGTCACAAACGATTCCTTGTGGCAGCATTCACATCTCTAAGGCCAAGCCTGCACTCAGCTCACACAGTGAACAGTAAGCCAGGCTGCCCTTTAAGATTTCTCGTTTTTCTGACCTGCTGGATGTGCTTTCATTTTATGTTACCATTCTTATGTCATACACAGCACAAAGCTGCCCGGTTAGTTTAGATATAAGTTACTGCACCTTTACTGTTTTTCTCTAGAGTTACATCTATGTATGATGTGGGAACGTATCCTTCTTCACCGTTCTGTCTCCGGGCTCTTGTCCATCCGTCACCTTTGTCCTCTTCAATAATGTAGAGAACTTCACCTTCTTTCATTGCCAGAGTACCTTCATTATGTCCTAGACAAGAGTTTTTATAGCACAAGCATAACTAAAGAATGGCAACAGTATTTCATAAAAATTACAAATACAACACACAAGCTATACATTTCAATGTATTTGGAGCCAAGAGCACACTGTCACCAGTAATGTCACTGACTGATGCTTTTAGTGTAGCCAACACTTTCATACACACAGTGAGCATGAGGCTGGATTAGTATCATCACCATGTAACAGGTAAAGTAACTGAACCACAGTGACATATGATTTAACAAAGTATTCTAACTCCTATTTCACTGTTCCACTTCCTTTCCCAAATCTGAGTAGCGTTCCTATCTAAAAACCTCAGTAAGTATGAAACAGGAAAATAGTAGCAAGACAGTGAGAAGTGGGAAGAGAGAATGAATATAGCAGAGAGAGAACAAAGAACGCTTAACTCTGGTAATGGCCTTGAAGCACCAACTTCCTTCAAGACCTTATCAGCCTCAGGACTCCCTTTTTCTCCACCCAACCACACTCAACCTGCTTAGCAGTACAATTTTCATAACTGACTCTCCACTTAACATATGCTAAAAATCCTTCCCTTCTCTCTACATTACACTATAGCAGGACCTTAAATATATGTTCTCAGAATGAGGAGTGACTGAAGACTTTATTCAATTTTAAAGCCAACACATGGATGGATGGATGGATGGATGGATGGATGAAGACAAATCATATCATCTTAAAATAATGTATGAAGATGTGACTCTTCTTTCCATTAGTAAAGGAAAATGATTTTTCAGAGTCCAAGAGAAGGAAGGGCCACTAAAAGTCTGTAACAGAGGGTCACAATGCCATACTCCCCTCAGTTTGCTTTCCAGCTATCACCAGAGAAAGGGTGGCACACTCAGAAGTTATCACTTTCTCCTACTCTCATCTGAAAAGGTGGCCTGCAAAACTAGGGTATGAGGGCAGCATTCAGCCAGGCCTTACACCTATCCCAACATCAATAAGCTATAAGAAAGAGCCAAGAAGTAACATCTACCAGCCATCTACTTCCTGAGCTGGGCTTTATGCCCACAATGCTCCAACTCTGCTGAGTACATGTAAGCACTGGTAGCATCTAGGAGGTTCTGTATCAAACAGAATTGATTGGCAGAAATCTGCATTAGGATACTTACAACACAGGTAATTTTCTTTCAATTAAAGGTGTGTGTGGGAAGAGAACCCTCTACATTCATAATGCAGCTAATGAACTGGAATAATAGTTTTTGGACATTGTATTATTTAGCTAAGGACACTAAAGTAAATGATAATGTATTTAGACTTTAAGGACCAATTTTATCAAACACAATATATTAGGAGCATCATACCATCAAAAGGGTAGATAGCTTTGCAGTGTCCAATAGCAGGCAAGGGATCATCATCCTCGAATTCGTCATCAAACTCACTGTGGTGACTGTGTTGCTGGGATGGCCCACGGACTTCTTGGTTTGCATCATCAGTGTAGCTTCCCTCAGGACTAAAAATCGTAAAATTATCACTGATCAAGTCACAAACAAGAGAACTGTTTTTGTATCATTTATAAGTTTTTCTCTGCAGAATCAATTCAGAAAATTCTGTATCAAGCCCTACTTTCTTTTCTTTTTTCCTTTGTTTTTGGCAGTACTAAGGTTTGAATTCATAGCTGCATGCTTGCTATGCTAGGCAGGCACTCGATCCGTGGACCACATCCCCAGCCTTTAAGCTCTGTTTTCTTAAACATTCCTTCTAATACAAAATGCTACTTTACTGAATTTCCTTTAAAAAAACTTGCATTGTTCTAGGCACTTAGAAATAAGTACACCTTACTAGGTCTAAAGATAAAATGAAAAAATGTAGTAAACACTTTTTCACCATCCCAGATTCATTGCTCCCCTCTTTGGGCAAAAGAGCCCCAACATTTCTTCGGGGACCCACCCAGACCTGTGTTCAGTTCACAGTGAAGGTGTTTCTACTATGGATCCACAGGGACCATGAGCACAGCACTTGCAAGGTAGTTCCCAGTCAGAATCCAAGAACTGCAGAGGAAGGAAACTCACTCCTCTTTCACTTTGAACCTGGAGAAAACTGCCTAGAGCTTTGCCAGATCACCAGATGAAGGCCTTAAAATGAACCAGTAGGAGCTGAGAAGCGGGGAGAAACTGAGTTCTCAAGATACCATCTGTCCCTCAAGTCAGCCAATGAAGCCCAGTTTTACTTTAAGCCAGTACAAAAATTCATTCCATTGCTTAAAACCAAAAGACTACTAAGTAAAGTAAGAAGTTAATTTCCAATTAATCACGGTAACAGAGAAGTTAGCAACTTAGAAACTAACAGGTACCTTACAGTTAGTAGCTTAGTAACTAACAGAAAAGAGCAGGTAATACAAAGACATTCTTTTTTTTTTAAACATATCTTAAATCAAAGAGAAAAATGTCAGAAGTTTTTGCTAACACATCAAAATAGCTGAAAAAGATTTTAATAATGGCGTGCTCACTTTGGCAGTACACACTAAAACTGGAATAATACAGAGATTAGCATGGCCCCTGTGTAAGGATGATATGCAAAAAGGATATGCAAATTTATGAATCGTTCCATAATTTTAAAAGGTTGATAATGGAAAACTGTGGATTAAATTACACAGCACTTTCTTCAGCAATACATGCCAGAAAGCCCAGACCTTTTAATCTGGGTTTTACCTAAAGCAAAAAGCAGTCACTGGTGGATCTCTATGAGCTCTTTCCAGAAGTGATGGGAGAAAGGCAGGACAGGGAGGCACTAACACTTGAGAAGCACAAACCATTATCTGGTGTTTTATTTCTACATGCTCTACCTGGATTAGTTCCTTTGTTACTTCCTAACAACCCTGTAGAAGGGGTATTTTAACCTCCATCTCATATTCTAAGAAACTAAGATTAAGGAAATATTAAAAATGAAGTTGCCTAAATTATACTATAATTAAGTAGTAAACCAAGATTCAATACTAGACCGCTCAAATTCTTCCCTAAGATGATTCCTAATTTGAGTTTTTATTATGGGAAAGAAAAAGATATGCTACACCAAGGAAAAAATGTCGCAAGTGGTATAAAAACAGGGAAATTGGGCAAGATGTCCAGACAGAATCTTCAGTCCAAACCAACAAAACATCACCTTCCCCCTTTTTGAGTTCTCCAAACCTTAAACCATGAGACAGCAAAGTGTTTCTTCAGCACAACACCCCAACACGACCTAGCTCTGATCTTCCCAGGCCTGAGGCTCCTCCTATGACCTCGGGTTGTTCTTCCAAGAATTTACTATGTTCCTAGCTATATGGGGACATATGACACACTAGAATTGAACAGCAATGTGGAAATTTTGTAGTTCACCCATAACTATTTTTAAAGGAACAGAAAATTACTTAGGTTCAAAAGACTTCAGCTATTTAAAGCTAAACCTATTAAATTAGACAAGAAAGAAAAAGAATGGTATAAAGTTAAAGACAAAGGGTAAATCTGGAAAAAAAAATCTGAAAAAAAAAGACCTTTCTCGTCCCTGTGTTACAAGGTGATTTATGTCACTGCTGTGTCTTCTGTCTCCTCGCCCACCTGCTTTGCCTTCAACTTCAGAGAGCCAAGCCTTAGGAAAAAAAAAATAAGCAAACAACTGAGCTCAATAAACATGTCCAAAAGCTCATGAGATATCCTACATTTAAAATACGCTTTGATTGTATGCACATATGAATAATAAATAAAAATAAATAAAAGTTAAAAAGCTTAAAAATAGAATAAAGCTTAAAAGATATAAAGAAAATATTTTTGTATAACTGTACAATGTGTTTGTATTACACACTGTTATTTAAAAAAGTGCCCTAAAGTTTAAAAATTAAAGTAAAAAGGTTACATAAGCTAAGGTTAATTTATTACTGAAGAAATAAAAATATTTAATAAAGGTAAAAAAATAAAATACGCTTTGAGTGTTTACAATCATGTGATTCTTACAGATGAGAAAACTTTGTTCCAATTTGGTCAATGATCAACTTTATACCTGATTTTTTTTTTTTTTTTACTAAACAATTGTTTTATTTCACATATCTTTGACATTAATGAACACGTTTTCATGGTATTACTGGTTTTTATAGTACTTTTTTTTTTTCATTTTTCTTTTATTATTCATATGTGCATACAAGGCTTGGTTCATTTCTCCCCCCTGCCCCCACCCCCTCCCTTACCACCCACTCCACCCCCTCCCTCTCCCCCCCCCCAATACCCAGCAGAAACTATTTTGCCCTTATTTCTAATTTTGTTGTAGAGAGAGTATAAGCAATAATAGGAAGAAACAAAGGTTTTTGCTGGTTGAGATAAGGATAGCTATACAGGGCATTGACTCATTGATTTCCTGTGCGTGGGTGTTACCTTCTAGCTTAATTCTTTTTGATCTAACATTTTCTCTAGTACCTGTTCCCCTTTTCCTATTGGCCTCAGTTGCTTTAAGGTATCTGCTTTAGTTTCTCTGCATTAAGGGCAACAAATGCTAGGTAGTTTTTTAGGTGTCTTACCTATCCTCACCCCTCCCTTGTGTGCTCTCGCTTTTATCATGTGCTCAAAGTCCAATCCCCTTGTTGTGTTTGCCCTTGATCTAATGTCCACATATGAGGGAGAACATACGATTTTTGGTTTTTTGAGCCAGGCTAACCTCACTCAGAATGATGTTCTCCAATTCCATCCATTTACCAGCGAATGATAACATTTCGCTTCAGGGCTGCATAAAATTCCATTGTGTATAGATACCACATTTTCTTAATCCATTCGTCAGTGCTGGGGCATCTTGGCTGTTTCCATAACTTGGCTATTGTGAATAGTGCCGCAATAAACGTGGATGTGCAGGTGCCTCTGGAGTAACAGTCTTTTGGGTATATCCCCAAGAGTGGTATTGCTGGATCAAATGGTAGATCGACGTCCAGCTTTTTAAGTAGCCTCCAAATTTTTTTCCAGAGTGGTTGTACTAGTCTACATTCCCACCAACAGTGTAAGAGGGTTCCTTTTTCCCCGCATCCTCCGTCAACACCTGTTGGTGGTGGTGTTGCTGATGATGGCTATTCTAACAGGGGTGAGGTGGAATCTTAGTGTGGTTTTAATTTGCATTTCCTTTATTGCTAGAGATGGTGAGCATTTTTTCATGTGTTTTCTGGCCATTTGAATGTCTTCTTTTGAGAAAGTTCTGTTTAGTTCACTTGCCCATTTCTTTATTGGTTCATTAGTTTTAGGAGAATATAGTTTTTTAAGTTCCCTGTATATTCTGGTTATCAGTCCTTTGTCTGATGTATAATTGGCAAATATTTTCTCCCACTCTGTGGGTGTTCTCTTCAGTTTAGAGACCATTTCTTTTGATGAACAGAAGCTTTTTAGTTTTATGAGGTCCCATTTATCTATGCTATCTCTTAGTTGCTGTGCTGCTGGGGTTTCATTGAGAAAGTTCTTACCTACTAACTCCAGAGTATTTCCTACTCTTTCTTGTATCAACTTTAGAGTTTGTGGTCTGATATTAAGATCCTTGATCCATTTTGAGTTAATCTTGGTATAGGGTGATATACATGGATCTAGTTTCAGTTTTTTGCAGACTGCTAACCAGTTTTCCCAGCAGTTTTTGTTGAAGAGGCTGCTATTTCTCCATCGTATATTTTTAGCTCCTTTGTTGAAGATAAGTTGCTTATAGTTGTGTGGCTTCATATCTGGATCCTCTATTCTGTTCCACTGGTCTTCATGTCTGTTTTTGTGCCAGTACCATGCTGTTTTTATTGTTATTGCTTTGTAATATAGTTTGAAGTCAGGTATTGTGATACCTCCTGCATTGTTCTTTTGACTGAGTATTGCCTTGGCTATTCGTGGTCTCTTGTGTTTCCATATAAATTTAACAGTAGATTTTTCAATCTCTTTAATGAATGTCATTGGAATTTTGATGGGAATTGCATTATACCTGATTTTTATAAATAGCATTAAGGCTTAAAAAAGTCTCCAATTATGTAAAATTTCAGATCATAAATTCTAAAATTAAATAAAAGCATTAGAACATTACTGATTATAAAAATTACTATGACACAAATGTACCTCATTCTTGTGGATTTCCATCCGAAGGCGGTCCATATTATTCATAGTCTCTGCTAATTTAGGCTGCAAGCTCCCTGGATCCCCCATTTGTGGGTTTTTCTCATATACATCTTTCATTTTGTTGAGTGCATCTCTGAGAAAGAGAAAAGAAGTACAGAATTAAATATTCATTTCACATGCTTTTAGATGAAAGATTCATTTGTATTTAGGGATTCAAGTACTACTTAATTTTAAGTAATCACATCTCTAGTCAATGACCCCCAATTAATATAGTTTTCACAAAGCTGGTAATGTATAGTTAGTAATCTAAGGAAAAACTAATACCAAAAAAAGAGTGTAGTTCATTCTTCATGCTGTGTTATGTATCTCCTTACACATATGTACAAGTTAATACATAACATACATGCATACATTAATAAATGGCTAGAATACGCAGTATTCTTAAACTCATCATGTCTCAAATCAAAGTCATCACTGTTATCACAGTTTCTTGTTCTGCTTTGAGGCACAGTCTCGCTATGTAGCCAACTCTCCATTCTCAGACTGCCTTGACCTTCTGAGTACTGAGATTACAGGCATGCACCCATGCCCAGCTCTAAATCAAACTCATTCTGTACTTGAGATCAGTGTTCTTATCTCAGCTCACATGGCCTCACTGTCCTCCCACTCATCCATGCTAGAAATAGGAGACATATTTCACTTGCCCTCACTTTAAGTTCAGTCATTTACCAATTCCTCTTGACCTGTCTCTTCTCTTCTGATCACAAGCACATAGGTGATGCCCACGTGACACTACTGACTTAACATTCCAAACTCCTCTTGACCTGGAGCTTCATTTTCTTTATCCTCCTCCTCCTCTGCTTTCTCTCTCACTGGCTCCTTCTCTGTTCAACTTTTAAATGCCTGTTACATAAGTGACAGGTCTCCTCTCATGTCATCCTACACTCCTCTTTTGAGGATGACGTCTTACTGTTTAGTAACACCAATGTTCAGATGATTCAAATGTGAGGCTCTAATGCTCTTTCTTCCTAATTTCTAGATGCAAATGTCCAAACACAAATGGACACCTGCAGAATTTTCACAGATTTAAAAAATCAACATTAACAAAACCATTTTCCTTGCTCCAAGTTTATTTTTCTTGGTGCTGTAATAAATTCTGTATCTATTCTCCTGAGCTACAGTTTTAAAACAAAGAAAACAAAAACCCTTCCACTTTCCTCTTCTCTGATATCCATTCATAGAAAGTCTAACCTACTTTGGCTTTGAATTGATGCTTACATCTGGTCCTCCTTTTTATTTCCATGGCCTGGTATCTCTGGCCTGGACAAGTCCCCCAGTGTGTCCCTGCCTCGAGTCTCCATCCCCTATGGTCTTCGCTCCACTGTCAATCCCCTTTACTGGAACAGAGGGTTACAAACACCACTCCTTCTCAACAACTTTTGGCAATGCCCCATTGCCAACAGATCCCTACAGAAAAGCATTCTTTTAGTTCACCCTATGCCTTTCCACCCTCATGTTCAAGTCCCCAAGATCAGAGATAAACCCGGCCGTGGCAAGAACACTTGCATTTCTGTGTCTTTATTCTCATTTCCTCTGTGCCCCTGAACGGTCCTTCCACTCCCCCTCGCTTTCTTGTTTACGAAATCTATTTCTATTTTCCTATTAGGGTCCAATTCCAAGGCTCTGGAGACAAACTGGCTGGTGTCTAGATGCTAACTCTGGCACCACCTACCCAGTCTTAAACAAAATATGTATTTATTTGATACCTACTCTCTTCATCTAACAAGAACACTACCCTCAGAGGCTATATAGAGAAACTCAGTAACATACTCCATGTAAAATGCTCAGCTGAGAACCTGACATGTAACAATTCTTCAATAAACACTCATGTCCTAGGCCACAGTCCTCCTCCTCCACCTTCCTCCAGAGAAACCTTCCCTAATGATTCAGTAAAAGTTCACCACTCTTTCCTCCAGGTGTTCCTAGAAATTAGCAGCTATCACCATCCAGCTTATGTAAAAACATTAAGTCACTTGCCAGTCTTGTCTTTCCCAGATAAAGTGTGAACCCCTTGGTCCTGAAATAGACTATTATATATGGCAAGCACTAAATACTAGACTAAATGTTTTAATTTTTCAAAAACTATTTAGATGTTGCTTTAGTAAATTATTTATACTGACATAATACTGATACTCATCCCTGACAAAGTCCGTATTTCTGAATTTGCCCACTACAATTTGTCTATTGGAAACTCCCAACCTGGTATTGAAAGAGCTTTCCTGGTCACTCGTGGACGCACACGGGATAGAGAAAAACTGAGTCACTGTAGCATATCTGAGTTTCCACCACAGGTCAAACAGGAGATAGTCTGTGCCTTTTTTCGGCTCTCAAAGGACACTTTCTAAGTAAGTGTCATTTTTTGCAGCTGAGCATTTATTAAGTGCCATGATTTCAGCACTGCTTCTTTTTGTTGGTGGTCCTGGTGTTTACAATGGTCCTACACACTGGTGAAGTGCTATCAAGGTCTCCTAAGCAAAACAAGGCATAATTCACTTACAAGGAAATCATGTGTGTGACATAAATCTTGTTGAGGGACAAGTTACAGTGTCACTGGCACAGTTCAAAATATGAAATAAGGTGTCTTTAAACAGAAACATACAGATAATAAGGTTATGTATCTATCTGTTGATAAAAAGACGGCCAGTGGCTGCCTGCAGCTTCACCCTGTTTCCCTAGAGGCAGGGATTCAGTATCCAGTAGTTCATGTTCATGATGACTCAGCAGACCACAGCTACTGAGAATATTAGTATTTCATTTATAAGTAAACATCCCATCATGCCTGATAAAAAATTCTTTTATTGTCCTTTGGTGGTTTCGTTTGATTTGAGACAGGGTCTTGTGATGCAGCCAACACCGGCCTTGAACTTGTAATCGTCCTGCTTCAGCCTCCCAAGTGCTGGGGTTACAGGTATGCAGCACCATGGCAGACATAATGCACAATTCTGAACACTGAAACTTCAATTTCTCATGCTGGAGTTTAAGCTCCAGTTTTATCTTCACTGAAGACACAGTAAGTCATTGTAAAAACAAAAAAATTTAAAGCTATAAACAAACTATAAGTGAGCAAGCAATGGTTGCCAACATTTTTACAGCAAACAAAGTAAGTATGTCCTCAGGTTGCTACTGAACTCCATTTATATGCCAAAACAAATTGGAAATTTATCAAAATATAAAAGGTAGAGGGGGCCAGTGTTGGTAAAACTACTCTTGACAATGAACCCTCTAGCTACTTTACAAATTTATGGAAGGACATGCTAATGGTGACTAATAAAAATCTCCAATCAAAGAAATTCCTGAATATTTCACTTTTATCTATTTTATATATGTGTGTGTGTGTGTGTGTGTGTGTGTGTGTGTGTGCATACATATATTTATGTACCCCCACCCCCACCCCGGTGTGACGCTGGAATCGACTCCTGAGGCCCTTGTGCTAAGCCACGTCCCCAGCCAGAGTGAAATCTAGAAACCTCCTATATGCATTCAAGCACACAATTCAAAGATCCTGAAAGAAGGAACAAGACACAGGGACTTAAGGGGACACTACTTTTGGTCTGACTCTTTCTGCAGTTCTCTGTTAAGTTCATCAATGCGCTGCTGTAGTTTTTTACGTCTCTGTTCTGGTGGCAGATGACTGAAATCTTCCAGTGCTGGCCCCTGAAAAGAGAAACTAAATCATTATTAAGGACATTTTCAGGAAATTCCATTTTTAAAATTCCATTCCATTTTTAAAATAAGAGTATGTACCAATTTTAAATTTCATATGAATTCTCTTTTAAGAAAGAGAATCTAAATAGATGTGTATTAACGAACACAGTGCTCTTGAAGAAAGAGCTCACATTTCAGTCACTTTTTAAACCATGAAGCAAATACAGAAAGCTGGCAATTATGAGCATCCCACTATTTTCAAGTGCTGGCAGAGTTAAAATGAATACATATGAACCTTCTTACAGCAACAACAGAATGGAAACACATAACATTTCTCATCTGTCCTCATCATTATTTTTATTCTTAGAGAGAACCTTTCCACATCAAACCCACTGCAGTGATGTTTAGAATGCGACAAATGTTCGAACTAAAAACATAACAAGTTTATACAATTGAGCTAAGTCAGCAACTTACCTCACACAGACAACTAATGAATGATGTAAACTTCAATACTGTACACAGTCTTTCAAGTAATCGCACTTAATAAACCATTCCTTGAGTCAGAACCACTTTTGTCATTCAGTAACAAGGTAGAATGATTCACTGACGACAAACTGTATCCACTTGTGGAGCACATTTTCAATCTTCCTTATGTAAAACCAAATAACAGACCTTAGCTGTTTCTGAAATAAAGACACGATCCAAATAAAGGATCTAGTCTGTCTTCTTTTCCTTTTTTTTTTTTTTCCCCCTTTTGAGATAGGTTCTCATTATATAGCCCAGGCTGGCCTTAAACTCACAATCCTCCTGCCTACATCTCTGTAATGCTGGGAGTACAGGCATGTACCACCATGCCCAGTCTTAATATAATCCTTCCTTAGGAAGGACACTTGGAGTCTGGAAATTTTTTAATGCTTTGATAGTCAAGAAACTATGTAATTTTTTAAAAAAGTAGATAGCATTTAGATATCAATTTTTTTTTTCAAATGATGGTTTTTTTCCCTTGCTTTTTTTTAAAGTCAGGGTCTGTGTAGCCCAGACTGGCCATCAATTTGCAATCCTCCTACCTCACCCTTCCACCAAGTGCTGGAGTCGCAGGCATACAGCACAGGCCTGGCTCCATCCTTCCTGCTGGATGTCAGTCACTCTTACTTCTGTATCAGAGACTACAACAGAATCAACATTAGCAACTACTGAACCCACTTAATATAAATCAATATTTACTTCTCATATACTCCAAAAATTGATACCTGTTGTCCATTTTTCTTTTCAAAATGGTTATTTTAAGAACTTAGTGCTGCTGAATGAACTTGTAAGGAAAAACAGGTTCCTGCTCTTACACCTATCATGTGTGCTGAACAGCCTTATTTCTAGATCTCCAAGAACACTTCTCTTGCTTTTAGGGTAAGCCAGGACAGCCCAAACATGTCACAACAGAAGCCCTCAACTCTCTTGCCCAGTGCACACTGTGGCACCCAACAAGGTTCCTGACAAAAGGCAGACCTTCTATGTGGCTTTTATTTCTTCATCTAGTCACCAGAAACAGCTGGGTCAAGCAGCAAAGCTGACCTAAGCAAAAGGATGATAAAATCTGAAGTTACTAGTTAATTATCAACACAAATTGTTGAATTCATTCTAATTATGGGTTACAGACATTAAACTAGTACATATGTGCCCAAGAGAACTATTAATTTATATACTTTTAAAAATTTCTGAAAATCTTGAAAATGTATTTAATGAAATGGAGAAATACATTTTACCATAATACGACAAACTGACCGTTATCCATGAGTAAATAGTCACATTTCTGCTTATTCCTAATCCAAAGTTCCTGTCAAATTCATTAACAGTAGCCAGCATCTAGGCACTTGCTTTTCAACATGAGAACCTGTTCTTAGGTAGAATACAAGACCTGACTCACTCTGTTGACTAGTGGTGTAAAGACGACCTCTGAGCCATATCACAATCTCTCACCACAAAGAAATTTGTAAAAGGTCCAAATAAAACTATTTTACATAGCTTCCTATGCAAGCTCCCAATAATTCTGGGGTTAGTTCTTCATAATGTAGGCCCATCAATTTGTTTGAAATAAATATGCACAGGAACATCCAAACACACACACACACTCACACGTGATAATCAGATCATCTGTGTTTTGGTTCCCCTGCAGTAGCACTGAACAAAGCACTGGCTCCCTAATGACATTAGCAGAAAATCTTTTTTGTCCTTTTTGGAAAAACCTTACAATTCTTTAGGATAAACTACTAATCGATTTTATAAGACCTTTTCTAAGGGTGTTAACAAAAGTAACTTTCTTCTAAATTCTCTTTCTGTATTACAAATTTTTTGCTCTACCATTAACTTCAGTGCTGTGTGATTGATTACAGAGATTAGTTCTTCTCTGTGACAAGGGCTCCACCCAATCACGTTCAGGAATTTCATGGGTTCATTGTACTCAACCACACAATTTTCTAGCCTATGACATCAAGAGGTACTGGCATATGTTGGACTATGGATTAGATTATAAAAACAGAAACACATACAAGGTGAGAATGTGGAACGTAGTTTGAGATTACTTAATGTTGGACAGCATACATATCAGCACGCGAGGCTTACCATCTTCCCCGACCACTGAACAGTTCAACGGAAAACAGAAAGAAATGGTAAATTATTCACAGGAAACTAGAATACAGAAGATGCAATAACCTGTTTTTTTTACAATATTAAAATAAATTATGTACATTTTACAATCCAAACAATTATGCTAGAGAAAAGCAATTGTCAGCACATTTTGGGAAAGCAGATTACTTGCAAAAAACAAAACAGAAAAATGCACACTGATGATAATGGCAGATACTTTCTGAATTCAGCAAAACTCAAACGTAAGCAGCAATCATTCCACCAATAAATCATGCATTTCCCTTAAAGAAACTTTGCTATCTATGTACAATTTGGAATCCACCTATTAATATAGTATCGAGTACAAGTGAAGAAAGAAACATGCTTCTAGAGAGAAATCATAAATTAAAGGGAATTTTTATATAGGTGTATTCTACCTACATAGCTCTAACATTTGAAACTAAATATAAAATATTAGCCATTTAAGAAGAAATCTTACATAAAAAATTTAAAGAGTGCCCTTCTACATGCGTTAAAGAAAGCACCATTATCTGAATTTTTATGATTCAAAACACTTTTCTGAATCTAAACTTACCACAGTAAAGTGAGGGTAACATTTTTATCTTAGATGTAAGGTACTATTTTTAAAGTATGGACACATTACAAACATCTCACTGTCAAAGTAACAATTAAGTTACCCAGAACCAAGCTGCATACAGTATCCCAATAAGCACAAACGTATAGGGTGAAGTCTGCATTGAAAACAGTTTCTTCTTTTCAGTAATATTCTGAAATTCAGACTTGAAAAATGCTAAAAACAACTTAAATTTTAGCAAACTGGGTAAAATCTATTCTTCTTGATCATATGAGATGACAAGAGTCTGAAGAGACCACTCACAGTGCTCTTATACACTAGAAGTCACAGCACACCCAGGCACGCACAGACATGTGCACACAGACACACAGATACATAAGCACTCAGAGGCACAGACATGCACCCACACACAGACACACAAGTGCACTGAGCAACACAGACATACATACAACACAGGTGCAGACACACTCAGCAACACAGACTGCATGCATACAGACAAGCACAGGTGCACACACGCAGACACACTCAGCAACATAGACACATGCAGAGGCACAGACATGCACACAGACAGCATTCACTCATGCAGACACACACACATACAGACACATGCACAGAGGCGCAGACATGCACACGCAGACATGTGCAGACAAACATGCAGAGGTCCAGATACACAGACATGCATGCACTCATGCAGAGACACACACAGACTTGCAGACATGCATGCAGAGCCACACAGACAAGCACATATGCAGACACGCACACACACACACACACATGCAGACATATACATATATATGAGCACTGAGACACACACGTGCATGTGCACACAGACTCACACACACTTGCACACACATACCCAGTGCAGTAAGCTTCGTAAGCTTAACCCTCACATTCATCACCCTTGGCTGGCATCTCTCAGGCTGGAGATGCATGCCAGTGGTGGGCTGCTAGCCTGACATGCACAAGGCCCTGGGTTCAAGGCCCAGTACCACAATTTTTTTTCCATTTTTTTTCCCAATTTCTAAATCATGTTTTAAGAAAGGGTGACAAAGAGATGTCAGGTAGTTTCACTGAGAATTTTTTGAAAGAATTAATTCTGGCAAAAATATCTACCCCTTATCTCTGATGAGCTGGCCATACTCACTAATGGTTGTGAAGATAAGAAGGGATGATATTTGCTAGTGGTACCTTTCCAAACTACACTTCACATTCTTTAGAATGTTAATAGTTTTAAGAAACAAAACACATGATTTATTATGTGTGACAAAATTCATAGTGAGAAAATGGAAAGATTTAAATTAAGGAAAGCTACTCATGGTATTCTTTAAATACTGTTACAATTACACACAGGACAAGAAGTAAAATATTTAAAGTCTGTGACTCATCTCTCATGATAATTCTCCCAAGGTGTATTTCTAAGTGTTCTGTCATTTTGTAATTAATATATTAATACTGTTCAGAGAAAACACAAAGATAATTATGGCCTAGATATCAAATGTTTCCATTTTTAGCTAATCTAGTTTTACTATAAATTTATAGGTCACTGAAACTCAAGTTCATTATGAAAATAGTGGAAATATATTCTGTGTGTTTTTTAAAGTAATACAACTTCACAGCAAAAAACACCACACTCATATACAATTACTTTATACCTATAAACTAGAAATGTCATATAATCACTGCATCATAAATACAAAAGACAGCTAAAAAAGAAAATCAGGCAATTAAAATTATTAAATGCATTTTTTGAAAACAGGCCAAAATTCTGAAAAACATACTACCAATCTATAAAAGTTTCAAAAAAACAACTCTAGACTTCTGAAGATCATAATAATTTAGACACAAAACATGGACTTCTTATTGTTAAACAAATCTGTTATTATTTAATCTCATTGTTAGATAAACTTTCAAAAGAAGTGGCTGTAGGATAAAAGTTATTAGTGTGTTTGTTAAACAATCAAGTTTGGGTATGTTCCCCCAATAATGATGAACTGTTAGAACTTGACTTCACAGGAGGAAACTATAAAACCTCATCCCTCAGAAAAAGTACAGAGGCCCCAGTGCCAAACTCAAAAATACTGCTCTCACATCCTCACAGATACTGGGAATTGTATATACTATTTTTTTTAAGAAAAGGTATTTTGAAGAAAACAATGTCCATCAAATGTAGCACAAAACAAAGAGTTTCTGAATCGAAGGGCGAAACTCAGTGGCTAGGAGAAACCTTGAGATCTGCTCATTCTGTAAGGTTAATGGACTAAAAAGTCCACATATGTGCATGTAAGGACACATAAACTGGATTATTAAGGCTTGCTTTTCCTCCATTTGGATTTTTGGAAGGAAACGATCTCTATAGCTTAACATGAAACAGCACCTAGTAAAACTCCAACTCCAACCTAAGAGGAAACTCCTCAACCCGAGGTTGCGATGTCATCCTCCAACCCTTTCCTTGGTTGGCTCGCTGTGTTTTCTATCTTGCACACTGCTGGCTTCTGGGGTATGGTAACTAATACTGAAATTGGGAGATTTCAGCCTTCTAAAACTGTAACACTATACTGTAAGGACATAACTAAACTTCTTAAACTAGGCCCTATAAAAACAGCGCGTGGATATTTAAAGCTAAAGCAACACAGAAGAATAAAATAATGGCCAACCAAACAGTTTTCAGCACTGCATTTATGAAATTCTACCTGCAAAGTGTTCAGTTAGGAAGAAGATACTGGGCTGTGTTGTAGCTCAATGGTGGCGTGCTTGTGTGGCAAGGGCAAGGCCCTGGCTCTCACCCCAGTGCCACAGACAGAATGAAGATACCACACGTTTAAGCATCTCTCTCCAAGCTAACTGCCTAAAATGCTTTTTTTAGCATTCCATTGACTTCTTATCTCTGTGGATAGAGAAGCAATGTAGATTTTAATTCTACCCTAACACAGGCAATAGAAATCCTAAATATGATTTCCTAAAGTCTTTCAAACAAGTATCAAGGGCTGGTTAAAGTAGACCATCATGCCAGAGGGGCAGTACAGACTCATCCAGAAGGACTTTTCCAAAAGGTCCTAAATAGCCTCTATTGTCACATACAGAAGTTCATGTCATTGGAGAAGAAAAAGGAAGTCACAAAGGGGATATAACACAGTGAACATTTCTCTGCATTACTGACAGTAGAGAAAGTTGTTGTGCTGTTTTAATACAAGTGTAGATGGTAATGTACTCTTACCCTGAACAAATATATTTTGTTGTAAAGGTGTCCAAAATGCAATTTGATGTCAGAAAAGAAGAAAGAGAAGGAAAGAGAAGACAAAAAAGAAAGAGAAGGCAGGGGAAGAGGAAAAGGAAAGAACCCACTATTAGTGTATTATTACTATTAATGATTGGACTTTGCTTGCTTTAGTTTTTTGAGACGTGGTATCACTATGTAGCTCTGGCTGGCCTGGAACTCCTGAGTTCTCCACCTCCTGAGTGCTGGGATTATAGGCAGACACTACCACATGTGGCAAGATCAGACTTCTGACACTGATAAGACTGAGTTCTCATCTACTGGTGATTGTACTTAAGGCTTTCCCCCCACCCCCCAGTACTGGGGTTTGAACTCAGGGCCTCCACCCTGAGATAGGGTCTCATGAACTATTTTGCTCAGGCTGGCTTTGAACCATGATCTTCTTGATCTCTGCCTCCTGAGTAGCTAGGGTTACAGGTGTGAGCCACCGATGCCCAGCCTACTTATGTTTTTTCAAATGTCCAGAAAAACCTTACAAATGAGTTTAAGTTATTGGCTATGTATATTAAAAGCACAACCAAAAAAAAAAAAAAAAAAGCACAACAATGGGCTGGGGGTGTGGCTCAAATGGTAGGGTGCCCGCCTAGCAAGCACAAGGTCTTGAGTACTACCAAAAAAAAAAAAAAAAAAAAACCCACAACCTAAAAATCAAACATAAACAAGAAAAATTAGGGATCTGGGAGTAGTTCAGTGATACAATGAGCACTTAGTATACCTAAGGCCCAGGGTTCAATCCCCAGAATGGGGGGAAAGAAAGAAAAATTAGCCTTGATAACACAATAATTACCTATCAGTAGTTTAACAGCTGTCGCTCAAGAACACTTTAACACTGCATTTGCATTCTGCTGGTCTATACATTTTCATTTGCAGAGTACTCTTAGGAATAATCAAATGTCAAAGACTGGCCAATTTTTTAACAAAGAATAAAGGAAAAACTCTGGTAAAAAACAGTTTGGATTTTTCAGTTCAAAAAAACAAATTCCATATGATAGCTCAATATTTTTGTAAGATTTACAATTACAAAGTACCTTCCAATATATTAATTTGACCTATAAACAGTCTTTATATTTAACATAGCTATCTTTAATCTTTTTCTTTTTGAGGGGGAGGGTACAGAGGGAAGACAGGGGCTCATCCTAGCCAGGCTAGCTTTGAACTTGAAATCCTCCTGCCCTAGCCTCCCAAGTGCTGAGATTACAGTTGTGTACCACACTCAACTTTTTATTTTTTTCAATTAATTAGAAATTATGTTTTCGCTTTTAAAAGTAAGTGGGGCAATTAAAATCAAGCTTGACATTCTACTGCCAATAAAACAAAACTTTATAAATCGTCCGGTGAGGTCAGCATTAGTGACTAATTATTACAAGAGTAACTCCAGTGACAAATTACTCAAAGTCTTAAAAATGTAAATACATTACAAGACAATGGTGGACATATGGTTTCACATAAACGAAAAAAATAGCTAAAATATGATAGTACCCAGCACCCTCTTTATAATACCATTCTTTCACGGTTAAGCGTTTCAAATGTCACAAAGAGGAGTCGTTCTTAACTTGAGGGCAGCTATACTTAATTGTGTGGTATTTTTACACTACTTATTTACAGGAGAGAGCCTTATAATGAGGGTGGAGAGTATTAAAAGCCACACTACACACACGATAGGCCATCATGCATTTCAACCCATCTTTAAACTTACCCCTCTTTTGAGGCTTCTGAAAGAAGGAATTCTGGGCTTCCCTGTTTTTATTTCATTCATACAATAATGCACGGGCTCAATGGAGAATGTGAGAAACTGGGACCCGTTAGAAGTACTGGATGTGAGTAAACTAGCAGGGGTTAAGGGTGGGGACTGTGGCTAATGCGGAAATAAAGAAAGGAATCAATAAGCCAATGTGCATAGCTTTTCCTAAATGAAAATTCTACTTCTGTCAACATACTTTCCACAAAATATACCTCAAAACTTTTAACAAAAATATTACAAGAAAATAAACATATCCTTTTAAAAGTCATTTATGTTATACCATTCCACTTGACATTTTTACAAGCTGACAGATTAGAAACAAAGTTAGAACAATGTGACCTGCATTAGAAAGGTCTCTGACTTCTGCAATATTAGCACCACCATGGATTCTTGTACAGGTCTAGTTAACCTACACTTGTCAGGAAAAAAGGCTAAAGTTATCACACAGAATATTAAACTGTAATGGATTATCATCATAAATAAGCCAAAATTTGTCTCAGACTGTTTGTATTGCATCCTTATTTCACCTCTTTTTAAATAAATTTTATATTCCTTTTATTTCTAGGCTCTTCTAGCTACTCCCATCTAGCTGAAAATGGTCTCATCTCTCAACTTCTTGACTGGACAATATTATTAAAAGCACGAATAAAGCCTGAGCTAATTATAACTATACTTTTAAAGATGGTTTCAGTGTATAAGAATTAAAATACTAAGTACAACACATCCAACTGAAGGTAAGTCCGTTCTCCTTACTGATGTGACACTTTGACAATAACTAAACTGGAGAAAGACAAAGCACTCGTTTATTTCATTTGCTCGATATTGGGCTGTGTTTACCTTCCTAAAACAAAGAGCACATTGAAAGCTGGGGTTTGACAAGAGGTTAAGAATAAGAGTCTCTTAGAAAGCTAAAGGTTTTTTTTTTTTTTTTTTTTTTTTTGTAGGGGGGGACGGTACTGGGGCTTGAACTCAGGGCCTACACCTTGAGCCACTCCGCCAGTCCTTTTTTGTGAAGGGATTTTTCGAGATAGGGTCTACAAACTGTTTGCCATGGGCTGGCTTTGAACCTCAATCCTTCTGATCTCTGCCTCCTTAGTAGCTAGGATTACATGCGTGAGCCACCACGCCTGGACAGAAATAATTTTTATTATTAGGGTATCAAACTGTTTCTCAACAAGTGAAAGGTTCATTGAATCAAACTGAAAATATTTACCCACCATTAGGAATAAATCATTATCCATTCATGTCTATGTTGACTTAATTGACTTACTAAGAAAATCTGATTAGCATACAGGAATTTTATGGCTTTTACCTTAGGCTTCTTTCCAAAGAGCCACAATTTGCCCTTGGCCTTCCCTACTGTGGTTTTGGCATCCACCTTCCCACTCTCCTGTTTGGATGCACTGATGGTCCCATCAGAAATTGTTCTATAAATATGCTGACTGTAATCTTCAAAAGGAAAGTCTCCTGGAGGTTCAAAACCAGACTTGAAAGAGTCTACCACCATTTGAGAATCCTACATGCAAGAAACAAAATTTAAGCCATTTCATTTTTTCATAATACCACAAAAGCTTTCAAAACTTTAATCAGTGCAAGGAAACAAAAGTTTAAAAAAATAATTCTACAATAACACCAAAGGTTTAAGATAAGTAAGTTCTTCCTGTGAATTTGTAATAAACCCACAAATACCTTAATACCAACAGAAAAACACCCTAACTTATAAATTACATATATACATAATACATATATATGTATTATGCACACATATACACATACCTAGATAAATAATGTACTTTGAGCTCCCAATTAAAAAAGCCAAAAATTGTCTTTTCTTTTTTAAATTTAAGGATTCCATGAGTTACAAGAAGGCTCTTCACTAATATCTACTTATAACTTGCTATGGAGGCTAAAATATGTTCTTTTCCCTTGCTCTCCCTTTGTAGTCTCAGTTTCTGTCAACCTTGCTTTTTGGTCATTTAAACATTCACTGAGAAATTGCCAGACTCAAGACTCTGCTACACCTTAGTCAAGATACAATGTGGTTAGACTTATTTCCTCAAGAGGAAAAGCTATGCTGTCCCCTCTACTCACAATGTCTTTTCCTCCTCAAGGGTCACTATTCCATATACTACCCATGTTTCTTGATCCAGTTCAAGTACCAACTCCTGTGGTTAAAGGCAACTCTGACAACTCTACATCTACCCGATCCCATCCTTCTCTAAATTGTCACTAGATAACAGTATAATACAGTTTAACACACAGTTCAGAGTTCTAACTCTGGATTAGAACTGAAAAATAAGTGGAGAACTGAGAGGGCTAGAAACATTTTTTTTTTTTTTAAAGAATAAGAATTGCAGCAATAAGAATAGTCCTCAAGAGTCCAAAGGAATCTTTTACAAGAGTTTCATGAATGGGATGTAATTCAGAGTCAAGTACCCAGCTAGGTTAGTTAGATCACTAATCTAAGTTGCATACCTACAGCAAATCCATTCATTCAAAAACAACTGCAGAGCACTTACTCTTCTTTCATCAACTGATTTTGCTGCAAGAATCATTCCTTCCAAACATTTTGAAATGATGGGAATAACTTTGCGTTCTGAGTCTGCAAATCCTCTGTAACATTCACTGAGTTTAACCGTCCTTCGCTCATCCATTTCTTGTAGTTGCTAACCAGGAATTTAAAAAACAAACAAACAGAAAAGGATAACTGAATTTTCTTATCATTCTGAAGGAAAGCAATTAGTGACCCCTCCCAAAAAAATGAAGATAACTACCTTAATACACGGTTGTTTTTAATACCTTTTATAACAAGTACTACATAAATTCTTAAACTCTGAGGTCTCCTAAATAGTAAAAGAAAGAAAAAAAAGTATCTGGGCTTTTAGTGCATCCAAAACCAAGTGACAGTGATTTTCAAGTATTCTAAAACAACCCTACCACTTCCAGTCTTGTCCCCACCTCTCTGCCTTCACTCTTCATATTTCTTATCGTTTATGTTTCCAGAGAAAGTTCCACTGGAAGATAAAAAATCTAGCACTAACTTTTAGAAGCAATTAGCCTATAATATATATAAGGCTCAGACTTCCAAACCCTTAAACTAGTTCAGAATGCTTTGCTAAGATCTGGCTGGACAAAGCATTCACGGCTGCTTACATGCAAACAGGTACAGAGAGTCTACCATAACCTACAGTTCAGTGACTATCAAAGAGGTGGCACATGTAAGTCCGAGCTTGAAGGTACTTTTGGCACTTTACATTTGCCAGCACTAGCTTTTCTCTTCCTAGGAAGCAGCTACACTACTCAAGTCTTCAAAGTCCCATAGCCTTTGAACCACTTTTCCTCTTCCCTTCCCAGTGGAGGCCTCCCCAGAATCTGAGAACTAGCTAGCAAGCCTGGATAGGCAGAACAGTGAGAACTGGCAGGCTGGATCCTCAGGGTTCAAAGACCAGAATCAGATGCCCATCTGTAGTCCACCAATTCTCATGAAACTTCCTTTGTACTTCCGTCACAACTTATGTGGGAAACCAAGTAAGCTGGGCTGACTTCCTTTCCACATGAGCTTGCTCTCCTAGGTACAACCTTACTCTATATTATTTTACTAAATTCCTTTCTAACTTCTCTTTCTTCTAGAAAAAGCAACAATACAATTTAGCCCTCCTTATGCTTGGCATCTACCTTCATTAAATGATGGTAGACAGCAGTGATAAACAAGCTCAAGGCCAGCACTGCATAACAGTTACCTTCCAATAGAGCCAGCAAGACAAGCAGCAAGGAGAAACCAGGCACACAAAACATTTTACATTTATTTCTGCCATCTGCGCTAATGTCAAATTCTAGATGAACAGATTACAATACGCAATCTCAACGAATTCTCCTACAAAATCAAAATACTCAATGAAACAGTATTAAAAGTCATCTCAAAAATGTCATTACTTTAGTGGACTATTTATAGCATTCATAATAAGTGTGATTTAAAAGAAAGGAAAATTTACTTCTCAGATAATAAAGAAATTTCTTATCACCAATCTTGGTGCCTAGTCAGTCTCGAAATACCCTGAAGTCTAAGATTTAAAATTTAAGTATTGGGACTGGGGATCTGGCTAAGTGGTAGAGTGCTTGCTTGGCCTACACAAGACCCTAGGTTCAATCCCCAGCACTGCAAAAAACCACCAACACCACAAACCCTTAAGTATGACATTTAAAGACCACGAACTTGAACTCGAAGGGGACATACCTTGTAGATCTGAGGGATCACCACGTAGAAATGCTTGTGCTGCTCCCCGTTAAAGTTCTGCAGCTGGGCAGCATACTCATTCTTATTCTCGTCAGCCATGTGGGTACGCAAGTTCAGCTGTTGTTTGGCCTAGAGGAGAATTGATCAAAATAACAACCAACAACAAAATCACAGCAATTCACTTTTCTGAAAATGATTCTAAAACCAGAGCACATCAATGGAGAAACTAACAGCTGACGTCAAGAGAACAACAAAGTAGTCTACCTCTTTCCACCTGCTGATATTGTCTACATTTCAGGAAGGCTACAAGATCCTTATTCCCTTGCCCCCACTGTAATACTCCTCCTCCCTTGCTATCCATTCAGATAATCTGTCAAACAAAAACACAAGACCTTATCTGAAAAGATAGCTAAAGGCAAAAAGGGCTGGGGGCATGCTCAAGTGTTAGAGCACTTGCTTATTAACAAGCATGAGAAGGCCCAAATCCAAGTACTGCCAAAAACAAAAAACAAAGGTGAGTTTGAATATATAACAATGGTTTCCATGTCTACAGAACTACAGGTACTTTAAGTAATATGTATCTAAGATACAGCTCAGTTCTCAACATCTTACAGAAAGTCAAATGAGTATCATTTACACTGATGAGATTAGGATATAAACAAAAATTATCAGTTCTAGATGTACTGGAGGTAGTCAGGGTAAATTTCTCAACTGTTCTAAAATAGTAGGAAAAATAAATTAAAACTTGAGCTTGCCAGCATAGTAGCACACACCTGTACTCCCAGCTACTCACAACAATGAAGTGGGAAGACGGTGAATTCAAAACCAGCCTGAGCAACAAAGCAAGACCCCATCACAAAAAAAAAAAAATTTGAGCTGAATCATTGTACATACCAGGGCTTTATAAATTCTAAGGCACATTAATTATAACTATACCTCACTATTCTAATTCTAGTTTCAACAAATGTAGTTGTTAGACACTGGTAGTCTACTAGTTAGATCTTCCCAAGTGAAAAGCAAACTGACCTATTTCAACTATAGTGTCATGGGGACTAAACACAAGAGCCAAAGTATTTCTACAGAAAAGACACATCAGCTTCCAACCTGGAGTCTGAAGTAGGCATTCATTTACTTCTTTCCCTTTCTCTTTTCACTACAAACCACAGTGAAACCAAGGAGGGTTCTGAATTCCATGGGAACTCCTGTCCAAGAGCAGCTCTGATTCCCATTGGTTGGGGCAGAGGTTCCAGTGAGTACAGAGGAAGGCAAGGCAAGGAGCTAAAACTACTAAGCCTCCCCTAATTTTCTAATAACTAAAGAAACTGCAAATAAGTGTACATAGAAAGGAAGCTGTGAACACCAAAACTCTGAGTAAGTTACCCAAACTAACTAGAAGACGTTATAGCCAGACTTTAAGGTGAATGGCTAGTTCTCTCTATAGCTAGAATGAAGTTAAGTACAAGTCCACTTATCAAGTAACTTTTCTTGCCTACTACCTGTATGCATCCATTATCTGATGAGTCACAGGAGTGTTTACTGAGTTAATGTCAATCTGCAAAAAGTCCCCCATGTACAAAACAGTGCTTTCTGTAACTGTGGTGGCCTAGTTTATTAAGTAATGGCCACACATTGATTATGTGTGTGATCACAGAGCCAGAAAGAAAACTGACAGAGGAGATCAAAATGAGTATCTAAAAACGTTAGTATCAGGACAAAATGTAATAATGGATAAAGACGCACATATAAATTAAAAAATGTGTGCAAAATTCGGGGACTCAACAGGATCAATCCAAACAGCATGGCTGCCCAAGTCTCAATGTGTTTAGATTATGTTAAGATACAGTAACTAGTCACACAAGGGAGGTAATCAACTCATGACTAATCAGACTATACCTTGATTACAATGTCCAACTTCAGAAAACTACTTTAAGTGAGATATTGATGAATTAAAGGATATCCAAAGGAAAGTAATCATAATAAAAGGTAACTTAAAGCTATTTTACATGTAGAATAGCTGAAGAAATGGTATGGTTCACATAGAGGCAAACAGTTTACTGCAAGTATCTAAACAGCTGTTATCTTGGTTCAAGGCTACCCCAGGCAAAAAAAAAAAAAAAAAAAATAGTTAAGACCCTATTTCAGTAACAAGCAGGATGTGTTGGCAGACCAATGTAATCCCAGCTACACGGGAAGCCAAGGTAGAAGGGCTGCAGTATGAGAGTGGCCCTGCACAGAAAGCCTAATACCTACCTGAAAAATAAACTAAAAGCAAAAAGAGGGAGAGAGGGAGAGGTGGAGGTGGGAATGTGGCTAAAGTGGTGGAATGCTTGCTTAGCAAGTGTGAGGCACTGCGTTCAAACCAAGGTTTCAGTACCACAAAGGAGGTAGGGAGGGGGGAAATACAGCAAACTGCTTTGAGATTGCACATTTCTCCTAACAGGAACGCTCTATCAGAGGTATAAGTAAGTCATTAAAAATAGATAAGCCTCATGAGCTAGACTAAAAGACCTGCAAGGTAATTATAACCAGGAACTCATGAGTTTCAAATTGTCCTGGTTTTTTTTTTTTTTAAATTGGCAAAGAAAGTGGAAGGAGGAAGTAAATATTCCTTTCTTTCTTACTTTTTCTCACTCTAATCCTTCAGAAAATCATAAAGTACAAAGGAGTTCTTTAGCACACAAAAAAAGCATGTTACAATCTCAGCATGTCAACCCTGTCACTGTGTCAAATGTGAGATAAAGAGCTACAGGAATGGAGGAGAAGTGCAGCAGCAGCTGTATGTAGCACATCTGGAGTCAGCAACAGGAGGTTCCAAACCCCAACAACCAGCTGGCAGCTGGCACAGACCATGTTCTCTCTTCTGTCCATACCCAACTGGCACACCTTAGGCTTTCTACCAGTATTGGGGCAGGGCAGAGATTTAATCACAGTAACAAAACTGTTTTTCCTCTGAATTTTAATGCAGCTGAGATGTCACCATAAATAAACATGTACATGTTATCTAAGGTAGGCAATATTTGTATTTTAGATTTAGACGCAGTGTGCCTCTTCAAGAATGTCCAGCACTGGTGCAGATGCTGTGCTCCTTCCCACACGCTTACAGTGTCTTGTGTCAAAGCTGGTTTGCATTACTTCTTACCTTTTCAACATCTGCCTTGGTCGCATTAGTATCATTATCCAATCTTTCATAACTCTGCTGTGCCTTTTCTGCCTCTCTACATTCTCTTTCAAATTTCTTTTTACTCTGTTAAAATTAAAATTGAAGAGAACGTAAGATTAGATTTATCTCATTTAAGTAATAACTTTAAAATGTTATCACTGTGTATTGTGCAGAAATAAACAGCATACTAAAAGTAAAATCTGTCTTTCTAAATTAGAAAATAAATTTTATTATTATAACCCATTGGTGTGTCTTAAATATCAAACATTATAGACTGTGGGAAAAAAAGCATGATTAATATTTATTACATATCTTATTTCCTGTCCCAAAATAAAACATATGTTTTTATTATAAACTCATGTTTGGCAGGCCTTTTTTAATTTGGTGGGACTCTAACATAGCTCTAAATATAACAATATCCCTCTCTGAATGATTTTGTGTTGTTCTGTCAGGTGTCCCAGAAATACCATCAGCCCAGACACACCATTTTTTATCTAACTGAAATTACTACTACTTTGTGAGTTATGTATTTGCCTGATTTTCAATGCAATTATCTTTGATTCAACCCAGTTGTTTAGATCCCTCCACAGTTAATTCTAACACAGTAGGAATTCTATCAGTTTTGTTTTCTTGATGAAAACAAAGAGCTTTAACCTGCATACATTACCAGTCATGCCTCATGTGTAGCAGACATGAGGCGTGTCCCTTCCCTCTCTCACTTAAACCTATTTCCTAGCTCCAAACTCTCTCCTTTCTAGGCTTACTTCCACACTCTACAGAACAGGAGCAGCTCCCTACCAGGTTCGTGAGAAACAATGTTTTTAGTCCCCATGGCTAAAAATGCCTTTATCACCACCCCCACCAACCCCATACTAGGGATTGAACCCAAGGTTTTGCACATGCTAGGCAAGTGCTCTGCCTCGGAAACACACCTACAGCCTTAACAGCTCTTTCCAGACATAAAATTTTGTTGACGATAGAATTCTTGGATAGAAATCATCTTCCTTCAGAAATCCAAAGTGCTATCCAACCATTTTCTACTTTCCTATGTGACTATCCACTCCAATGCCGGCTCCTGAACTACTGTATAAAGCATGTCTACTTTGTTTGGTTCTTCCTCTCCCTCACCCTTCCTCTCTCTCTCTTGACTAGTGAGGGTTTCTCTAAGTGTTCTAAAATTTCATGAAGACAGGATTTCATGTTTATCCATTGTGTTGAGTACCCAGGACATCCTTTCCACTGGAAACGCATGTCTATGAACTTAGGAACAATTCTTTGGCATACTTGTGCCCGTTTTCTGTTTTTGAAAATGAAGCTTGTTATATGTGTCCTCTAGTTTTATCACCTTTCACATTTTCCACCGCTGTCATTTTGCTGCACTTTCTGAGGTAGTTCAACTTCATCTCTCATTCTTTTTAGAGACGTTCCATCTCTACTACCATAAAGGGGGTTTTTTGTTGTTCTTTTTATGTTCTTTTTAACAGTACCTTATCCTTATTTTCATAATACTTCCTCTTTTCCCACTGAGAAAATTAGTAACAGCTTTGAGTGTTTTCCATATTTGTTTTTAATGCTCATTTTTTTCAGTCACTGTCTCTTCTGAGTTGCTTTTTTCCTGCTTAATGAGTTTGGGCTCTGATGTGCACAACAGATATTTCTTTCAATGGCTGGAGAGCCCTGGCTATATGGTGTTATAAGCCAACTGAAAGCTCTGCTAGTGGAGCTGTTGAATTACAGTTTTTCCCCCTCGGGTGAAATAGCCAGGTAGTTTCCTGGAAAAACCCTGATATCGGTATCTATAAGGCTTTTTTCTCTCTAGCTGGTTAGATTCTCCAGAGAAAGCCTCTTCCAGTTTCTTGCCTAGAAAATAAATGCCTTGCTACCTGTATTCTGAGGAGTTTTCAGAAGAAGAAACCAGAGGATCAAAAGACCTTGCATTTACACCAGCCTCCTTTTTAGACCTGGTAGCTTTGAGCTGCTAATTTTGATACAAATTGAAGCCACTTATAAACAAAATTATTTTTATATTAGGTATCTTATCTGTGGAAAATACCTATATGATAATTTTCTTACAAGAGCAAAACAATCACAAGATCTACTCCTTCCCAGAAAGGTAGCCTATCATTATAAAATACAGAACTATACTACAGAACAGATGTTTTCTTTAACCGTGCTTTTGGGGGAAGACTGGCAACTTCTTCTATTCCCCTAACCTGCTTAGCAGAACCTGTCTCCCAATATAGAAGCTGAAAATAGCTGTTTCTTACTATCTTGGTGTTCCCAAGATGACTTGCATGGGCAAGTCATCTAATGTCATCAGAGGCACTCAGGAGAGTCAGCTGAGGCTTTCTCGAAAGTTTTACTTCCCTGATAAAAAGAGACAGTTGGAAAGAAACACTCCTTTGTTCCTTCCTTTTGGTGCAGCTCAGATGAGAATACGGTGTTTAGCTACTTAAGTGTTGACCACAGGGCACAAGGCTAATGAAAAACAACCAGCATGGTCAAAATGGCCAAGTGGACAGAGTACAGGCAGCCTTGGTGATATCACTGAACCACTGCCCTGCTCAGAGCTACTCCCTTTCCGGGCTGTATTCTTATAGACATGTCTCCATGACCTAGCATCTGATACTTTCATCTTCTTAATCTCTGTGCACCTTTCAAGATCTCCTTCACAGGCAGCTCTCATCTGAAAGGCCTGTGCTGCCTGTTTTGTCTATCCTGGGATTGGTTAAAAACGGTCTTCTAATTTTTTCCCTTAGTTTTCAATACTCTGTCACTAGTACAACTTATTTGCCCCAATTATTTAGAACTCCTCTCAATTAATTCAAACATGTTAGGAATTCTATAATTTTATTTTCTAAGTAGGAAGTCAAAGAATTAGGAAATAGGCTCCTACACTTGTTTTTACATATAAACAGAAATTATATTTGTCAGTCTCCTTCACTGGATTGTAGGCTCAACAAAAATAAACTACTCATATTTACTTTTGTTTGTCCAGGCCCAAACATATGATATGATTAGGATATTCAAATTAGCATTGACTAGTAGAGCACCTGCCTGGCAAGAATGAGGCCCTAATTTTAAACCCCAATAGTACCAAAAAAAAAAAAAAAAAAGTTTAGGACTGGAGGTATGGCTCAAGTGGTAGAGTATCTGCTTTGCAAGTATAAAGCCATGAATTCAAACCCCAGTCCCTTCCACCTAAATAAAAAAACCAAAAAACAAAAAATAAATAAGCATTGAATAGGGTTCAATTCACCTTTTTTCCACAGTGTTACTAATAATCCCTTAAAGAAATATTCCCTACCTTTTCTTACTTATGACCTCTTGTGATTTTTTTTCTTAATAACTGTTAACTGTTCTAAGGGCAAGTCAGCACATATTATCAACAGTGAGTTGTACCAACACCAATTTTTAAAGGATCCAATATCTCCTGAACATAGGAGTCTGTTATTTTGTGCAAATGAAAACACATAAGCCTACACACACATATGCTCATTAGGCAGCAGATACTAAGGTGTTAGTGGAGGCAATTTAAAATTTCATCAGTGAAAACACTCCCTAAAAGTCTTACTGAAACCAATTAGAAAGAAAATCAAAACAAAAATGCAGGCACACTATTAATGTGCCTAGAATTCTCCATCAGTGCTACTGGCAGAATCATTTACCAGTGACAGTGAAACAGTAGAAATTGAATCTAAGCTCTGAATGCACATTTTTAAAAGGGAAAGAAGGGCTGAAAGCACTAAGTATATGCATGAGATAAATTTCAATCTTAAAGTCCTTTTCTAATTATCACAGACTAAACAGATTTAATATGAAACACTTCCTTCAACATAATTCTCAAGGATTATAGTGGCTGTCAAAAACATATACTGGTTAAAAAAATAAAATATACTGGTACAGACTAAACTGCTTGATAACTCTCAAGGCTCAAAAAGAATATCTGATACAAAGATCATTTAGCACAGCATTTTAAGTAAAGAAAACTAGAGTGCTCCATGCAGACATCCTGTTTTTCGGATTACTGTATACCAGCACCTTTAAGGAAACATTAGCAAGAATCTTAGGAAAAATTTTAATTATTATGCTTTTGTGATTTTTCCCTACAAAGCATTTTCCCCACAATAGCACTGTCTCTGATCGTCAACCCCAAATTAGAAGCATTTACAGAATGGCAGAATTACTTAACTGAAGAAACACTTCATAGACTCTAGTTTTTTTCTCTTCATTTTTCCTATGCTAAAAATGAGGACAAAAGAAACCAAGTCCTAAAAAAAGACTCTAGAACTAAAGTTTTGGTTCAGTCAGTCTCTGTCAAATGGTCATCCAAGATACATCACTATACATCACTATTTGCTACTCGTTCTACACCACTAATACTTTATAGTAACTGCTCAAGGTCCAAAAGAAACTCCCTAAATGTTTATAATGATATGAAAATTAGAGAATTCAAGCAAGTAGTAGTTATACAGAAAAAGAGAAGAAGAATGGCAAAATGTTCTCACATCTCCCATTTATACTTTATTGGCTCTCAAGAACATGACAATATTCATGAGTTTAATGCTTCTCAGTGTGAAATGATGAATAACACACTGAGAAGCATTAAACTCTAATAGATGCAAAGTATACCAGGATCTAGGGTAACCAGCCTGCAAGCTCTTAACTTGTGGCATGAAAATGCTCACTCACATTGTCCATCTGTTTCCAGCACATTTCTAGGTACTGTTGCGCTTTTCGTCCTTCTTGGAGATGCTAAACATTAACCACCACCAAAAACAAAGGAAGCAAAACAAACAAAAATAATTACATTTAAATACTAAATAAATTCTGGAGTCCAAAAGAGTTTTAGACACTACATACACAAAAGACTTTACCATGATTTACAAAGAGAATAAAGCAAAGCTCTCTATAATACATTTTATGAGGCATTATTTCATACTTAGAGTATAACCTTTAAAACAAATATAATACCTAGGAACATTCTGGATGAGCCTGACAAAGGTTTTCTATCGAGGTCAAGTAATAACTATTTCAGGTCTGTAGACCACATCATCCTTATCACGAATACTCAGCTCCACTCAAGCAGTGCAAGGGCAGCCACAGCCAACAGGGAAACCTATGGATGTGAGTCTGTTCCAATAAAACTTTATTTACAGACACTGCAATTTAACTTTTATATAACTTTCACATGCTATGAAATACTTACTCTTCTGATTTTTTCAACCATCTAAAAAAAGTTAAAAACATTCTGGCTTTGGGCAATCTAGTGGACAAAAACAAGCAAAGCTGGATTTAGTCTGTGCACTGCAGCTGGCAAACCTCATTCTGCAGACCAAAAGGACAATAACCCCAGCTCAATGGTTTCTAAGTAGAAGAAATTTAGCAAGACAGGAAAACAATTTATACTGAACACATATTCTAAATGCAAAATGATTACTTTGCTTCATCAAACTCTGATAGCTGGATAAAACTTGTAACAATTACCATCTTCCTTTCAGTCTTCAGCTCATGAGCGTATCTCATCAGTTCACCATACACTCTGTGTGCCATTTCTTCTGCAACCACCTCTCGCTGCCCTGCGTAGTCATTCAACTCATTGAGGATGTTAAAAAAGGCTATACATGAGGTAAACCTGCCAAGAACATGAAAAATGGTGACACTTATTTTTATTTCCACTATAAAATTCTTAGTGAGATACGGACTGTGTCTAAGAATTGATAAGTTTTAACATTCTCAACCTAAATCTCAGATACTAGTTCTAAATTAACTTCATATGGAAAGAACCCTGCGTTAAGCTCAAGTTGCACGTTTATGTCTTTCATAAATAAATGGACATTCGGGGTCAAAAAACAGTAAAATACTACCTGCAGGCTCTTTTGGATAGTGGAATCTCTTAGGTTGCGAAATGACTGGCCTGAGCTTGGGAATGAACGTGGTTGGGTTGCTAGGCTTGGCAGCTGAACCTGTTGCAGAGATGATGTGGTTGCTCTCGAGGAAAGAACCTGTCAATCATATCACTCAAGTGCATCCCGATGGCTCATCTATAGACAACTTTGCTATCAGCTCTGGATACAGCTGGCTGTGTGCCTGCCCACAGCCTGAATGGAAGTGAAGTGCCATCATGGGTGGCATCAAAGAGGGGTAGAAGGGTCAAAAATAAGGGTAACAATGTGTGTGGAGGGAGGGAGAGAAACAAAGAGAATCACTGTATTAAAATGTATGCGTCTCCTTTGAACACACCAAGGAACACTCCTGTAACAGATGAAGGCCAACAGCTCAGCTAGAGCTCCATTAACAGCAAGCCTAAAACTCTTAACAACTGATAGTTGTTTGTTAAGTCTATCTAGTCTCTTTTTCCTTTCCTTTCCTAGCTTTTAGAGCTACCTACATATTCCTGCTGAAGACTCAAAAAGCTCATGAGCAATTTCTAGCCTTTTATTAAGGGTTTAAATATTATCCCGAAAATCTCATTCCTTTTCATTATCCTTTTAGATCAACCAGCCAAATTGTTTTACTACCTGTAAGAGTAACAGCAAGACGCTACAAAGCTTATGTCAACTACAGGATGGAGTGTGGGAAAATGTACTCTTCTTCTGGAGATGAGATTACCGAGGTGGAGTTCTGGTCTACCACTTAGAAACTCCCACATAGCTATCTAGAAAACTCGTGAGCAAGCCCTCTGATCTACAGTACTTATCCTGTGAGACAAGTATAGTTCCTTCTTTCATAAACACTGTGATTTTTTTTTACTAAAACAAACTTTTAAAATATCTTCATAAAACATTAAAAACCATACATTTTACTAAATAATAAAAGTATACATTTTCAAAATTTTTTATATAAAACAGTAAACAGTTATATAATTTACCTTGGTTCTTCGTCTTTGGATGAACGTTTGGGGCAGTACTTCTTAACCAGATTTCTATAGGAAGAAGATTTTTTAGATTCATAAGCAATATAGTCTAAGTTTCCAATTTTATTAAGTCAAAAATCTCAGAAGATAACACAGTCAAAACAGAAACATGGTCATCTACAATTACTAACATACTATCTGAGCATAACTTACATTTTGTTCTTAAAATACTGATAACTAGAAAGAAAGCTTATTTCTGTTTATAGGAGTGTGATCACAATTTCATTGTGCTATCAAATAAGAGGAAGAGTAAGAAAACTATTCCATATATAAAACTAAGTCATGGCAAGAGGATACATTTCAAAGAAACACCAGCCCTATTTGGTTTGGTAAATCAGGGACTTTGAATATGAACTGAGGTGATGCTAACTCCCTCGGGGATGAACAACATCCTATGGCTCTCTAACTTCTCTTATTTAGACAAAGGAATTACATTCTGACTTGAAACCATCTTTGCTTGCATCCACGCCCACTCTAACATTCTTAAACTAAAACGTTCCCCTTTGTGGACTTTGAAGCCAGAATGGACTAGCAGGTTTGAATCCTGGCTGCTTTCCACAGTATCTGTGACCCTGGACAGCTTCCTTCATTTCTCTATGACCCAGTTTCCTACAAATGGTGCTGACAGCACTTGCTCTACAGGTGTATGAGAAATAGGAGGGATGACTGTTACCACAGCACTCTATACCATGCTCCTCAGAGAACAGCACATGAACCACTGAAGGTCCAGAGGTTTTGGAAAAGTAATTTATGTCTGCTAAGTCAAAACACAAAAAGGTATGGCCTGTATTTTACATGTCTCTTTATGTAATTTTTCTAGTATTTAATTTTGATTTTGTGTTACTTGAAAGTCTAAGTACACAAGATTGAAACTAAAAAGACACTGGTCTATCATTACAAATAAGTTGAGATGCACTGCTTTACACATAAGCATTTTTAAAATAAATGGTCCTAACATCCATTAGATAAATACTAAAAAAGAAAAAAAAAGTCTGAATTATTTTCAGATTTGTATCGATTCATCCCACCTACTCAACTCAGTTTATTCATTCCACAAATTACTGTGTGCTAGGACCGTGCAAACTAATGGAAGCATTCAGAAATGACACTGTGGCCATGTTTAAGGTATACTCTTTTGAAAGCAGACAGACACATACCAACAATTACAACATGTCCAGTATGATAAGGACAGAAAAATAGTGCTACAACAGAAAAAAACTGAACAACCAATGAAATGAAAACAGTGGATAAAAAAGACAAAACACTAAGAAAATTCAAATCAACATTAATTAAGTTCCTGCCATTGAGAACCCCACAGTCAATGGGCTTGAAAGCATGGCCAAAGTGGGAGAGCGCCTGCCCAGCAAGCTCAAGACCTGTGTTCCAACTCCATGGCCACCAAAAACTGAACTCCATAGTCACTATTAGTTATAAAGTAAGGTACAGGACGAAAGCATTCTTTTAAATCAAAATATTTATTAATATTTTAGGAATTACTACATGGGTACATATATATAATTTGTAAATAATTGCAGGTACATTCTTAAATGCATTTTACAGGTGAGTAATAAAAAGTTCAGAAATGGCTGATCTAGTGAAATGAAATGCATATGACACTTTTATATAACAGCAAATGGTAAGAACAAAAATGGGCACTTTCAGGAACTTCCCTAAGGAAGGAAAGCTGAAATTTCTGATTCTAACTAAGCCTAAAGAGGTGAAAAAGAACTGGGAAACTGAAAAGCCCTGGGGGAATTCTATACAGAGAAGATCTAATGAACAAAGACAAGGAGCCAAGAAAAAAAAGACGATGGTTTTAAAGTACTATGAGTGGGTTCAACGTTGCTATAAACATTAAACACAAGCCAGAGAATGATAAGCAGTGAGGTTGGAAGGACTGGGGAAGGGAGAGCAAAGCAAAGGCCCTGCTAAGTTGAACTCTGAGTAAATACTCTTAACCACTGGTTTTTAATCATGTCACCACCCAGTATCAAGAAAGCTAAGTGCTACACGTTATTTCAGGTATCCGACTGGCAAAAAGGGAAGAGGCATAGTTAGTAAACCGTAATTATACATGGCCTACAGTACTTTCTAAAGGAGAACTCAAAAGGGAGATAAGGAAGAAATGATGAATTACTGGTTAATTAGAATAGGCAAGTCCATAGAGTCCACACAGCATAGTGGTTGCCGGGCAGAGGAGGAAATGACTGGTATTCAGTACAGGGTTTCTCTAGGGAATGATTAAAAAAAACCAAATACTAAAGATAGAGACAATTACTGCATAACTGTGAATATGCTAAAAAAAAAAAAAAACGGAACTGTACACTTTTAAAGGGTGAATTACAGTGTGTGAACTATATACATCAAAAGCTGCTATTGAAGAAGGAATGGCTGCTTGAGTAGGCTGTCCATCTGCCACAGGAACCTCAAACTGAGGTTCTAAAATTGAATTTATCTTCTCTTACAAACCTGTTCTTTCTTATATTAATGAAACCACCATCCGTCTAGAGTCTGGACCTTTTAAGCCAAAAATGTGGAACTCACCCATACTTTCTCAAGTTTCTTCCACCTTCAGGTGTTCATGTCCTGTACTTGCTATTTCCTAATTAACTTTTTCAAAGGATAATTTTTTATAATAAAAAGGTGAAAAGACATCACACAAGAAGCCCCTTCTTTCCACTTACAGATGCCTGAGGATAGGATGCCTAAAGCTACTACGGTATCATGTAAGCAAGTAGGGAAAGACAGTCTTGAAAATGCCCTGACATCACTGAACTGTAAATCCTGATTCCCAACTTGTTGTTATGTAAGAACAGTTACTCACAGCTGAATACTTCCTACAGCCAAATAAACATCATCAATAAAGGAATGTTTTAAGACATGGAACTCAAGCGACTTCTAGCATCAAGATCCACATGAGCCAGGTGCCAGTGGCTTCCACCTATAATCTTAGCTACATGGGAGCAGAGATCAGGGGGATCCAGGTTCAAAGCCAGCCCTGGGCAAACAGTTCTCAAGACCCCATCTCAAAAATACCCAAAAAAGAGCTGGCAGAGTGGCTCAAGCAGTAAGAACGCCTGCCTACAGTGTGAGACTAAGTTTAACCTCCAGTACCACCAAAAAAAAAAAAAAAAAAAGATGGAGATGTGTTACATGTGCAAAGACAATGACAAGAACAACAGGAGTTATCTACTGTTCGCCAGCTGTTATACTAAGCACCAATGTTTTTACAACAATTGCAAGAAGGTATTATTACCCCATTTTAAAGGACTACAACTTCCCCAAAGCCAAAAATCACTTCAAACTTCTACCTGTACTTAAGCAATGAATGTGAATGAGACTACTCAAGAAATACAAAATTTTGGACTGGGGTGTGTGGCTCAATTGGTAGAGTTCTTGCCTAGCAAGCTCAAGGCTCTGAATTCTAACCCCAGTACCTTGCCTCGCAAATAAGTAAAATTTTATGCAATCCCACTTATTACCTCCTGCTATTATCTCCCAAGCAATTGGAGTCCTTGTCTATGACTATATTTTCAAATGTGTTACCTGTATTTCCCAGTAGTAGTCTGAAAGTTTTGGGGCTTACAGAAGGTCTTTGATCCATCTTGAATTGATTTTTGTACATCCCCTGAACTATTTATTAAAGAGGCTAAATTTTCTCCAACATATGTTGCTGGCATCTCTATAAAAATCAGATGGCTACAGGTACACGTTTAGGGTTCCAGGCTGTAGTGTACATTTGTTTTACCTAGTATGTTACCTTCCTCACTTTTGTAACAGCTAGTGGCAAACACATTTCTGCTCATCATTTAAAAAAAAGAAAAAAGCAGTATGCTATTTCACATACTTCCCAACTTCCTTGCAGGTAAGGCAGAACCATGTGGCCAACTCTGTACAACATGCTGTGAGCTCTATTTAACTACCAGGCTACAGAATTCAGAACTGTGTACAGCCTCTGGCTAGTCCATTCCCCATGAAGCAACATGGAAGCCTCAGGATGAGATGAATGAAGATGGAAAATAGTCTAGATTCCTCAGTTACCTCATGGGCTGCCCTGCAGTCATATGAACTTAGAGCAGACTGCATGAATGAGAAGTAAGCTTCAAAAGTCCCTATTTGGAAGGTATTCTAATACAGGATAATAAAACACAAATTCTCCATTGCCATGTTCTTGTAGCTATGGTGGAGCTGGCCACATGCAGGTCCAAAAGTATTTATGTGATTGAGGCCCATTAATCCAGGCCAATGAAAGACAATCCCAAAATTTCTGATGCATATCTTAAGAAGACTTGTTATAGGTCATAATCCTACAGCCATGAATGAAGAGTCTACATGAGAATCAAACCAACAGAAATGAAAGCAAACCCAAGAATGGAGCGACAGATCCTTTTTCTTTAAGCACCTGGTTCCCCAAACAGTTCTATAACACAGCAAGTCATTTCCTTTCTTTGCTTGAACCAATCTAAGTGAGGGTTCTGACACTTGAAAGAATCCTATTACAGAGGTTAAACACACATTAGTCATACATAGTTTCAGCATAGATAATACTAATCTGAACTTTCTTTTCTTGGGGAAGAGCACAGACAACCTAACAGAGAAGGGGAAGAAAGTAGGTTTACCTTTTGACAAAGCAGTTTGTCCTGAGCAATTTTTTTCAAGAGTCCTTATTGCATCCCTGTATGAAAATCACCCAAGAGGTGGCCTTCCTCAACTCCAAATATCCAATAAATCACAACATAGTCTAAGCCAATCTGCAACCTGAAAAACTATACCAGAGTCCATAGTGTTCTCATTTTCTACCAGATTAAAATTTCTATGATAGCAAAACAGACTCTGAAAAAAAGACACATAAAATTGATAGTACTTACCTCTACAGAGAGAAACTGGAAAGGGACTCAAATTTAAACTTGTTACAATGTTTACATACTGTTTTCATACTTTAAAATCTAATAAGGAAAATACAGAAAAAGAATACATTCCTTTCAGGCACCTGATTTCAGCTGGGCCCT